GCAACGTGGAATCTATTTCTGAAATGGATTGTAGTTTGGGATTTGAATCTTTCCTCTACAAGGATTGGGGTAAGAGTACATTCAAGGGTAATTACATGGCGTGCAATGGGAGACAAATGTACAAGAGATACAATTTTTTTTTTCAATGGCTCCACCTCTATATTGTTGTTTACTTCCCTTCTATAGACATACTGCAACATTGTCTTGTACTGTGTTGTCAAATGCAATAATCTGTTTCATATTGCAACGTGGAATCTATTTCTGAAATGGATTGTAGTTTGGGATTTGAATCTTTCCTCTACAAGGATTGGGGTAAGAGTACATTCAAGGGTAATTACATGGCGTGGAATGGGAGACAATGTACAAGAGATACAATTTTTTTTTTCAATGGCTCCATCTCTATATTGTTGTTTACTTCCCTTCTATAGACATACTGCAACATTGTCTTGTACTGTGTTGTCAAATGCAATAATCTGTTTCATATTGCAACGTGGAATCTATTTCTGAAATGGATTGTAGTTTGGGATTTGAATCTTTCCTCTACAAGGATTGGGGTAAGAGTACATTCAAGGGTAATTACATGGCGTGCAATGGGAGACAAATGTACAAGAGATACAATTTTTTTTTTCAATGGCTCCACCTCTATATTGTTGTTTACTTCCCTTCTATAGACATACTGCAACATTGTCTTGTACTGTGTTGTCAAATGCAATAATCTGTTTCATATTGCAACGTGGAATCTATTTCTGAAATGGATTGTAGTTTGGGATTTGAATCTTTCCTCTACAAGGATTGGGGTAAGAGTACATTCAAGGGTAATTACATGGCGTGCAATGGGAGACAAATGTACAAGAGATACAATTTTTTTTTTCAATGGCTCCACCTCTATATTGTTGTTTACTTCCCTTCTATAGACATACTGCAACATTGTCTTGTACTGTGTTGTCAAATGCAATAATCTGTTTCATATTGCAACGTGGAATCTATTTCTGAAATGGATTGTAGTTTGGGATTTGAATCTTTCCTCTACAAGGATTGGGGTAAGAGTACATTCAAGGGTAATTACATGGCGTGCAATGGGAGACAAATGTACAAGAGATACAATTTTTTTTTTCAATGGCTCCACCTCTATATTGTTGTTTACTTCCCTTCTATAGACATACTGCAACATTGTCTTGTACTGTGTTGTCAAATGCAATAATCTGTTTCATATTGCAACGTGGAATCTATTTCTGAAATGGATTGTAGTTTGGGATTTGAATCTTTCCTCTACAAGGATTGGGGTAAGAGTACATTCAAGGGTAATTACATGGCGTGCAATGGGAGACAAATGTACAAGAGATACAATTTTTTTTTTCAATGGCTCCACCTCTATATTGTTGTTTACTTCCCTTCTATAGACATACTGCAACATTGTCTTGTACTGTGTTGTCAAATGCAATAATCTGTTTCATATTGCAATAACTTTTTTCTCTGATTATGTCATTGTAGACGAATTATTGCTCTTTGAAGACATTGAGGAATTGTTTGTGATGTCAACGCGGAGTTAAAGTTAGAAGTTGATAGTGTTGCCGTTCTGATCACAGGTTAGAAAGTTGTGGATGTTGCATATATATTCAATATATCCCAAAGAGAACCATTTTCTGCAGTCAGTTATTTTTTAGGTCACTGTGTTCACTGATAGTTCGGATGAACAAATTAAAATCAATTTTAGTTGTCTTTCGACAGGCTGTGTTTCACTGATATTGCTAGATAGGCTATGTCAATTTTTCTTAACATGCTCAGCCCTTTCAGAAATTCACTTGCCAAACGCAACAAATTATATGCAAGTTCGATTCCAAGAGTGAATTTCACGCTGTGCAACGATATGGGAAAAAAGAAATAGGAGGAACAAAATTTATTTATTGCCTTCTGTTAGAGGATCATCCAGGAAACAAAAGTAGCTCTAGTTTTATTAACCCTTTTTACCACAATATTGGTATAGTTATGTTCTTTTATTATTATTTCATTTCACTGTTGTAGATATTCCGAAATTTGCTGTGGAGCATTCTAGCCAATTTGTTTATCTTTTTTGTTCTCAAATTGTTTTTGTTTTTTTCTTTTTGCGGAAGACCAATTTTTCTTTAAGACTATCTTCATGAAAGAGTTGCTAGTGATGCCAACAGGGATTGAAAATTTCAAGCTAATAGAGTTGATGGTGTGATTACAGGTTAGAAAGTTATGCAACTCTTATGTGTCATACAGGAAACCAACATATTCACTTTTAAACAATTTTGAGAGAATCATTCCATGGGTCCGATCGAGCGTTAACCATAACTTGGAAGTCAGGACGTTTCGGCTACTGAGAGGTTGATCGTAGCCCTAGAACTGAATCAGACAAAGGACGATTTGTCAATTATAAAAGGATCCACAAAATCCGTGCTGTTTGTCTTTGCTGAAATTTGTCGCAAGTTCATCCTTCTGCTCTTTTCGCTTCAGTGTTTTTTCCAACCTGCATCATGGAATGATAAATCTATGAAAAAATTATTCTCGACGTGCTCAGCACAGGTAGCACTCCAATTGTTTGTCAGTGATAAAAATTAAATTCTTCCGTTGGGGCATGTTTTAGGTTTTTTGATTTCTTTTGATTGTTTTAAAACTTGTGAGGTTAACGAATAATTTGAATTCGATTTCAACAAATTTGTAGCAGATAACCCCGTAGGAAGCTTTCTGCGAATCTTACTTCGCTGAAATTGTTTGATATCAATGGTGAAATTATTGAAAACTTTGCTTATCAGAATTGAAAATTAATTTGACTTAGTGCTTTTATTACATGTAGTTTGTTTGTCTAGCCACTTTGACATTAAAAAAAAAAAAAAGGAGTAGATGTGAGCCGAAAGTGACTTATTTTCGATCGTTTTTTACGCTGTTAATATTTTGTATTGTAGAGGATTTTATGGAAATTATTGCTAACTAAAGATTATTATTTTTAGTTTGTTGGATATTGTCTGAATATAGTTTTTGTTTTCTTTTACTTTTAGTGTCGAGAACTTAAGATAGCTTCACACCGAGGAAGAAAGATGTTAGATTCCAGCCAGGAAGTCGATAGGAATAAAATGTCAGAAATTATTATTTTTAAAAGTTGTCTACCTCGTGGTAGTAACATTGATTTCAAACGCATGCGTTTGATGAAACAAATGTCTATCTTATTACTATACAGTAAGAGGCGAGTGTGGTGGAGGACGGTGGCGGATCGACCCCCAATTTTTCGTCCTCTCCAAGAATGAAACTTTTTTTCCTTTATATGGTCATTTTTCCGGCATGAAATCTGTGAAGAGATGAAGGGAAAAAACCTAGAATGAGTCACTATGTAACGTTATGATACACAGTATGAAATAATGCGTATGCGTTAAAAATTGAGTCCCATAAAGACGAGACTTCTTCGGCAATCTTGACAGGAAGAAATTACTAAGACAGTGCAATAATTTAGTCCAAAGACTACAAAATAAATAAGACACTAAGGCGTCGTTATACAACTGAAATTAACTTACGACTCGTTTCCAATGAGATTCCCTCTAAACTTGTAATCTTTACCTTCACGGTACCTGAAAGAAGAAAAACACGTCAAACACATGACAGCACTAAACCATACTGAGTAATTATTTACATGCACACAACGGTTCAACTAATATGCAGTTGTAAATAAGTAGATCTCTTTGAAAATGACACAAAAATTGGAAAATACGCCTAAAAATATTATAACATGTGGCTTTATTACCAGAAACTTCATAAATTTGGAACATTTTAAACGGGATTTAAAACTTCTGAGAAAATTAAGAGCTCTCACATTTTATTCATCTACTATACATAAACATATGGTGCGAGAATACCAAATTTTAATGATCAAATAATTGTGATGTCAAGCGCCCTAATTTTTTTGAAGTTCTGTATTTGTTTTGCTCTGCTTCCTCTGGAAATATTGTCGTTTAATTTAAACTAACTGACTTACCGAATTTTTTTTTTCCGATTTTGAAAGAGAATATGCTTTAACTTTCAAGAGGGCACCAGCATTCTTTCTGACCGGCATTTGTGCGCAGACCGGTTCAATATTTGTTGATGTAAATGTTTAGATAGCGTTAAAATACTAAACAACATTATCCTAAACAACGAAAAAGGGCGGCAAGACCAACAGCTCCAAGAATATTTAACTAAGAGAGTCCAAAACGGTTCTAACAAGACAACAATCCAAAGAAAACAATCCTAAAAGTATGCGCGATACCAACTTAACAATCGGACGAAGTAAATCCATGGTTTGATAATCATAGAATGCGCGAGATACTAGCGTAACAATCCAAGGAAAGAGAAACTTCAAAGTGCTTAAGGTACCACTATAGCAGTCGGATGAAGGGGAATCCTGAAGTTGCACGAGATAGTAACGCAACAATCCAATGAAAGAAAATCCTTAAAGCATGCGAGATGCTAAAGTAACAATCAAACGAAAGAGAATCCTAAAAGTGCGCGAGATACTAACGTAACAATCCAATCAATTAGAATCCTAAAAGTGCGCAAGATTCTAGCGTAACAATCAAATGAACGCGATTCCTAAAAATGCACAAGATTCTTACGTTCCAACCAAAGGAAAAAGGATCTTTAAAGGGCACGAGATACTACCGTAAAAATATAGTGAAAGAAAATCCTAAAAGTGCGCGAGATACAAACGCAAAAGTCAAGTGAAAAAGGGAGACCAATAGTGCGCGAGATACTAATGCAACATTCCAATGAAAAGAGAATCCTAAAAGTGCGCAAGACATTAACGCAACAATTCAATGAAAGATAATTCTAAAAGTGCCCCAGATACTAACGCAACAGTTCTAAGAAAAAGAATCCTTAGAGTGCGCGAGATACTAACGTAAGATCCAGTGAAAGAGTATCCTAAACGTGTGCGAGATATGAACGCGACAATCCTAAAGAAAGTCCTAAAAGTGCGCCAGACACTAACGTAACAATCCTATGAAAAAGGAATCCCAATAGTGCGCGAGGTACCAACGAAACAATCAGACAAAAGACAATCTTAAAAGTGAGCAAGAAACTAACGTAATCCAACGACAGAGAATCCAAAACCTGCGCAAGACACTTACCCAACAATCAAACGAAAAAGAATCCTAAAGGTGTGCTACAGACGAACGCAACAATTCCATGAAAGAAATCCTAAAGTTGCGCGCGATACTAACGAAACAATCAAATGGAAGAGAAACCTAAAGGTGTGCAAGTTACTAACATAACAAGCTAATGAAAGAGAATCCTAACAGTGCGCAAGATACTAACGTAACAATCCAATCACAGAGAATCCTAATAGTGCACGAGATACTAATGTAACAATCCATTAAAAAATATCATAAAAATGCGCGAAATACTAACGCAACAATTCTAGAGATGCTAACGTAATGCAACGACGGACAATCCAACAAATGCGCAAGATACTTACCCAACAATCAAATGAAAAAGAATCCTATAGGTGTGTTAGAGACGAACGCAACAATTCCATGAAAGAAATCCTAAAGGTGCGCGCGATACTAATGAAACAAACCACTGAAAGAGAATCCTAAAGGTGCATGAGATACTAACGCAACAATCCAGTCAAAGAGTATCCTAATTGTGCGCAAGATACTAACGTAACAATCCAATAAAAAAGAATCTCAAAAGTGCACGAGATACTAACGCAATAATCCAATAAAAAGGAATCGATAACGTGCGCGAGATCCTAACGCAACAATCCAAACAAAGAGAAACCTAAAAGTGTGCCAGATACTAACTTAACAATTCAATCAAAGAGAATCTATAAAGTGCGCAAGATCCTAACGTCACAATCCAATAAAAGAGAATTCTCAGAGCGCACAAGATATTAACGTAACAATCAAACGAAAGAGATTCCTAAAAGTGCACGAGAAACTAACGTAACAATTCAGTGGAAGAGAATCCTGAAAGTGCGTCAAATACTAATGTAACAATCCAACGAATGAGAATCCTTAAAGTGTGTGTGAGATATTAACACAACAATCGAATGAAAGAGAATCTTGATGGTGCGCGAGACACTAACGTAACAATCCCATGAAATAGAATCCTGAAAGTGCGCGAGATACTAACAACAATCCAATCAGAGAATCCNAAAGGAGATTCAAAAAGTGAGCGAGATACTAACGTAACAATCTAATCAAAGAGAATCCTAAAAGTGTGCGAGATACTAACGTAACAATCCAATCAAAGAGAATCCTTAAAGTGCGCAAGATCCTAACGCAACAATCCAATGAAAGAGAATCCTTGAGGTGCGCGAGATACTAACGTAACAATCCAACCAAAGAAAATCCTACTAGTGCGCAAGATACTAACGTAACAATCAAACGAAATAGAATCCTAAAAGTGCGCGAGATACTACGTAAAAATCCAATGAAAGAGAATCCTTATAGTGCGCGAGGTACTAACGTAATTATTCCAATGAAAAAAAATCTCAAAACTGCACGAGATACTAATGCAACTATTCAATGAAAGAAAATCCATAAAGTACGCCTGATGCTAACGCAACAATCCAATCAAGGAGTATCTAGTAAGTGCGCGAGATACTTACAAAACAATTCAATGGAAGAGAATCCTAAAAGTACGCGAGATCCTAACGTAACAATCCAATCAAAGAGAATCCTAAAAGTGCACGAGATACGTAACAATTAAATGGAAGAGAATCCTAAAAGTGCGCGAGATCCTAACGTAACAATCCAATCAAAGAGAATCTTGAAAGTCTGCCAGATACTAACGCGACACCCCAATAAAAGAGAACTCTTAAGTCCGCAAGATCCTAACGTAACATTCCAATGAAAGAGAATCCTAATAGTGTGTGAGACACTAACGTAACAATCCCATAAAAGAGAATCCCAAAAGTGCGCGAGATACTAACGTAACAATCAAACGAAAGAGAATCCTTAAGGAGCACGAGACACTGACGTAACAATCCAATGGAAGAAAATCGATAAAGTGCACAAGATCCTAACGCAACAATCCAATCAGAGAGAATCCTAAAGGTACGCGAGATACTAACGTAACAATCCAATCAAAGAAAATCCATATAGTGTACAGGATCCTAACGCAACAATCCAATGAAAGAGAATCCTAAAAGTATGCGAGATACTAACGCAACAATCCAATGAAAGAGAATCCTAAAAGTGTGCGAGATACCAACGCAATAAAATCCAATGAAAGAGAATCCTAAAGGTATGCGAGATACTAACGCAACAATCCAGTGAAAGAGAATCCTAAAAGTGTGCGAGATATTAACGCAACAATTCAATGAAAGAGAACCCCAAAAAGTGCACGAGATACTGACGCTACAATCCAATCAAAGAGGATCCTAAAAGTCCGCGAGATATTAAGACAACAATCCAATGAAAGAGAATCCTGATAGTGCGCAAGATACTAGCGTAACAATCAAACAATAGGGAATCCTAAGTGCGCGAGATACTAACGTAACAATCCAATGAAAGAGAATTTTAAAAGTACGCAAGATACTAACCTAACAATCAAACGAAAGAGAATCCTAAAAGTGCGCGAAATACTAACGTAACAATCCAATTAAAGAGAATCCTAAAAGCGCGCAAGATACTAACGTAACAATCAAACGAAAGAGAATCCTAAAAGTACGCAAGATACTAACGTAACAATCCATTGAAAGAGAATCCTAAAGGTGCGCAAGATACTAACGTAACAATCAAACGAAATAGAATCCTGATACTGCGCGAGATACTAAAGTAGCAATCCAATCAGAGAATCTTAAAAGTGCACAAAATCCTAACGCAACAATCCAATGAAAGAAAATCTTAAAGGTGCGCTAGATACTAACGTAACAATCCAATCCGAGAATCTTAAAAGTGCACAAGATCCTAACGCAACAATCCAATAAAAGAGAATCCTAAAGGTGCGCGAGATACCAACGTAAGAATCTAAACAAAGAAAATCCATAAACTGCACAAGATCCTAACGCAATAATTCAATGAAAGAGAATACTAAAGGTGCGCGAAATACGAACGTAACAATCCATGCAATGAGAATCTTAAACGTGTGCGAGATGTTAACGTAACAATCCAGTCAAATAGATTCCTAAAACTGCGCGAGATACTAACGTAACAATCCAATCAAAGAGAATCCTAAAAGTGCACGAGATACTAACGTAACAATCTAATCAAAGAGAATCCTAAAAGTGTGCGAGATACTAACGTAACAATCCAATCAAAGAGAATCCATGAATTTGGGAGATACTAACGTAACAATCCCATGAAAGAAAATCCTACTAGTGCGCAAGATACCAACGCAACAATCAAAAGAAAGAGAATCCTAAAAGTGTGCGAGATGTTAACGGAACAATCAAAAGGAAGAGAATCCAAAACGTGCGCGAGATACTAACGTAACAATCTGATGAAAGAGAATCCAAACAGTGTGCGAGATACTAACCCAACAATCCAATCAAGCAGAATCCTAAAAGCGCGCGAAATACTAACGTCACGAGCTACCAACGTCACGATCGAATGAAAAAGGAATCCTGACAGTGCGCGATATACTAACATTACAATCCAATGTAAGAGAATAGTAAAAAGTACGGGAGATACTAACGTAACAATCCAATAAAGAGAGTCTTAAAGGTACGCGAGATACTAACGCAACTAACCAATAAAGAGAATCCTAAAGGTACGCGAGATACTAAAGCAACAATCCAATGAAAGAGAATCCTAAAGTATGCGAGATACTAACGCAACTGTCCAATGAAAGAGAATTCTCAAAGTTGACAAGATACTGACGCTACAATCCAGTCAAAGAGGACCTTAAAAGTGCGCGAGATATTTACACAACAATCCGATGAAAGAGAATCTTTAAAGTGCGCGAAATACTAACGCAATCCAATAAAAGACTCCTTAAAGTGCGCAAGATGCTAACGTAACAATCCAATAAAAGAGAATTTAATCATGAGCGAGATACTAACGTCACGAGCTACTGACGTCACGAGTGGGCGAGATACAAACATAATAATCGAACGAACGAAAATCCTAAAAGTGCATGAGATTCCGAACCGACGATTCAATGAAAATGGAATCCTGAAATGAGCGCGAGATACTAACGATACTGTCGTTCCATTTACATTTCTTAGACATCGCAAGAAACTACCAGTAGTACAAAAATGTAATTTTCCTGAGAAGTAATGATTGCCCCTTACCATTCAATCCTCCAGAGAGAGAGAAAGAGTTTTTCCATGGTAACAGAGACGGCGAACACCGAGTGAGTGTCAGTTCTGCAATGTAACAAAAAAATAATAATAACTAAGAAGCTGTTAATCAAACAAATTTTGATCAGTGTGAGAGTTCCAAGTATTAGTAAAAAGGGTAAAACTGACTTCTTTGTGGGTCAGTTCTTAGTCACCCATCTCTTTTACAAAGTCGTCTCTCTGTTCAGCGCATAAAGACAGTCCAGTGATTGAAACATTTAACACACTCACTGGATTTCCTTTTCCTTTTTTTTCCTGGGACCAAGTCTTTGCATCACAGATTAAGACTAAGCAAGAGATTTTTCGGGTGAAACTGACTCCTTTGTGGGTCAGTTCTTAGATACCCATCTCTTGCACAAAGACCATTCTACATCTATGTTCAGTACATAAAGATAGTCCAGTGGTAAAAACAGCTTTTTCTTCCCTTCTTTCCTTTTTTTGTGGTACCAAGTCTTTTTTAAAAAAACTCAGGACAAGATTGGTAAGTTGACAATGACTTAGATGTGTTTCAGCCCTTACTAGACCTGAGGTTTTACATATTTGGTACAGAGCATTAAATTGTGGATGGGCAACAAACCAAAGGTTGAAACATATCTTGTGTACACTCTGACCACAATACAATATTTGCTTTCAATCACATCAATACTCATCTCATTGAAATCAGCTTCACAAGAGAGGCAGAAGAGCATTTTGTTATCCTGAAAAGGAAAGAAATCATGATGCTTAAATATAACACCATTAAATTGGTATCCAGCAGTTTCATAAAAGAATCATTTTGCTTCAAGTTGTTTCCATGCACAGCAAAGTCAATTTACCAGAAAAATCACACAGAAGGCAGAAAAATCACACAGAAGGCAGAAAAATCACACGGAAGGCAGAAAAATCACACGGAAGGCAGAAAAATCACACGGAAGGCAGGAAAATCACACAGAAGGCAGAAAAATCACACAGAAGGCAGCTAAAGCATGAAAGTAGTGTAGGGAGAAACAGGAAACGAAGTCAAGTGTTTCTCCCCACTTCTTGAGTGCTGTAACCACTTCTTAAGTGCTTTACAGTAAAACAGAGCACAGTCAAAGCTTGCATGTCTATTTGTTTTATAGTAAAGAATCTGTTAATTCCCCACTCATCACTTTCAATTTTCAAAACAAACTTTATTTCTAAAGCGAATATCAGTGTTGTCAGCATGCTCTATACTCGCATGAACCAGGCTGAAATACCATATATCACTCCATATGGGATTTTTAGAGTCAAGTTTTCTCAGTTGTGTCAGGACAAATTTTTGTCAGGCATGAAATCTGACAGATTTTCAAGCCATGATTTAAAGAAATATGTCAATCAAGAAAAATTTGATTAAGACTTTCAGGCAGAAGGCTGCCAAAACATTTAATTTTTATGTGGCAATCAACTGCTGATGTGGGAGATTTATACCTTGGGTTGCTGCATGACAATCATTCATTACTTATGATACTCAGAATACACTATTATGGCTCTCAAGTTTATGTTTAAGCTGAATCCCTAGGTTCAAGTACTGCTCAACTTGTATATCCATGTGATTGACATTTGGTAATTAAAAAATACTTTGCTATTTTTCGATGCACCAGCAATTGACAAGACTTTTGGTGGAGCAAAACCAATTTTGTTAGCTCAGTGCGTAAGGTAGTTGGGTAGTTGGTTAATCAGTACATCCAGTAGACACTGGAGAGTAAGCTGCACTCGCAGATAACCCCCACCTTAAGTTTCCAACTAAAATTTTGGAATTAAAAGTTTTTGAAGAGGAATCAAAATAAATTAATCACAAATGGAGTCTGAAAAAAATTGCAGATATAAACAAACATTTATCTAGAAAAGACAAGGTGGAAGGCAGCACATCATGGACCAATGAGTGGGTAGAAACTTAAGGAAGTCTAAGATGCTTATATAATGATTTATTTCTAACATCTGCTATTGATCACAGGGACCACAGAGATTGAATTTCTGATTCATTGGGTTAATGGAGCTCATTAAAAGTTAGAGGCACAAAACCAAACCCAAAGAAATCACAACAGACAATCAGAAGAAACAAAATTATCAGAACTCAAATTAAAAACAGATTTCTCGAAGCCTGAGAGAATACAAGTGAACCTTTCACTGTCGGTTTGATTTTGAATCCAAATGGTTGAGAAAGGGGCACAATTTTTCTGGACCAATAACTCAACAAATTAAAGCAAACTCACAGCCACCCTGGATTACTTTCAAACTCAATGAAAATCACATAGATACAGATATGATATGATATGACTGGTACACTTGAATCTATATTAAGCACACTATATCAAGCAGTCACCCTGTATTAGGCAGTTAGTCGTCGAAGTCCTGAATTTGTTTTCCCTTTATTACTGTAATTTTCACGTCTATTAAGTCGTTTCCCTTTACTACCTCCCAACGGCCTGTTTTTATTGTCCACTGAACAGTCACTGAGAGCAGGAATATTCCAATAAAACTAAGAATAATCTTTCTAGTTATTTGTAATCCATATTCCTCTCCCTAAATCAAAGTAAGTTGTATTTTCAAGCAAGATTCTTTATATCAAGTAGACAATTCTGGCATTAAATGGTGCAGTATATTGTTTTTTGTAATATCCCTCATCTATGGAACCTTTATTAAGTGGTCAACCAGTATTTATTGATCATGCCACCATTCCCCCTAGGTGACTGCTTATTTACAGGTTCAACTGTAGTTGTGCTGTGGAACAGATTTCATCACAAATGCAGTATTGATAATGAATTAAGACAACCATTCAGTTTCTATACAGAAGAAGCAGCACTTAAAGTGTGTACTTGAACTGCTTGTTTGCTATTTTTAGACGAATTAAACAGCACTTAAATTGTCACAATAAACAGTTTAGCAGGAGGAGAGAAAAGAACCAATTCAGTGACAGGAGGTGGTAGAGTATGAAATTTTCTGGAAATTTCTACACAGTAAGTCAGCCAGTTAGTTAGCCATTCAAGCAGCCTAATATATACACACTGTATTTGCAGTTGTTCATAATGTTCCATCCAAGACATGTTTAAGTTCCCCTTTGAAATAATTTAAGATGTGGAATATGCAAGTCCATAATTATCTGTCACAGCTTTAGTGCATCTGTGAAGTAAGAGGAAGCGTTTAGGAGCTTAACAGACTCCTACGCAGCTATGAGCTAGCTGCTTAGTTAAGTTCTGGTGTGAAATATAAGTCTTACCTGGTTCGGTTAGATGTAAACAAAATGGTGATGACAGATCCATGATAACAAATTTTTCTGATCCAAGTATCAATAAACTTCAGCAACTCATCCTGGGAATAGCTTTCAAAAAGTGCATTGAATCAGCTAAATCTATCGGAAACTGATAAAATTCTTTCAAACAAAATAAATGAAGAATAAACCTTATAAAACGAGGGAAACACTTGATTTTCCAGTAATCCTGTTTCTCACGTGCAACAAAACTTGTTCCCAGGCGCCCCCACATTTCAAAAAAACCGCCATTTTGAAAACCGAGAAGCCCCTGGGAACGAAATTGCAAATAAGTTCACTTGGAAAGTCTGAGGGAACTTTCACTATTTCCCTCTGTGTCTTCAGAAATGTTTAAGATGTTTTTGGCTGAAATTTAATTTTATGCAAAGGAATTGCATCCGGGTCAAACAGAACAGAACATGTGGAAAGGGCTACCATGTCTACTTTAAAACGCGTCGCGTTTTAAAGTAGGAAATGGGGAATATAAAATGAACAATAACTAATGATTGACGCGGAGAAGCGCTCAGATATTTGTCCGCGATTATCATTTTCTTCTGCGTAAAGGATATTCTCCAGTTTTATAAGGCGAATATTCGGTTACGTAATGTGTTTAGACCAATCAAGCAACACCTTCTCCTTCGTTGAACATGCACCAGTACTTTTTATGAAGATGGAACTAAGAGCAAGAAAGGGAGTCAGACTCTAGAGAAATAATTGTTGTCTGCTTATAATCCCATGATTTAACGCTTGCTGTTTAAATTCAAAGTAGACGTGAGGGGTTAGGCGGTTTTGTTCTCCCAGTCATTGCTCTGTATCTCTGGCAACGTTCCTCCTGGGTAATGCTAAAGAACGCTAACATTGAATATTGAGCGACGAGAAAGAAATTTGACAATGTGGAGTGCTGTAACGGAGTGCTAGTAGCAATTTGACACGAAAACATAGCTACATAACGAAAGATAGATAAATTTAAAAATGAGCAATCCCGCGAATGTGACGTATGTCGAACTAATAAATCAGTCCGTAAAAAAGATAAATGACACGCTCGACGTCTCTAATACTGAAGTCATAACAGGTAAATTCTAATATCCTTTTTTAATATTCAGGGAGAATAAAAAAAAAATTAAAAACAGGATAGACAAATGACACAGCGCAATGAAACAGTTTCGTTTTTCTACCACTCAAGACAGGTGCCCCACTGTTTATTCAAGTTTTATTAAGGTACACATTTGACCAGCCTATATTCTACTGCGATTAAAAACCAAAAAAAAAACTAAAAACCGGATTAAGAAATTACTGCATTTGAATAAATTGTACATGAGTAAGATCTTGCGCACAAAAATACAGAAAAGAACGTTGAAAAACCCTGTCTTGCAATTGATTACAACAATAAAAATAATTATTCCTCGTTAATCAAATTTAAAATAAACATCCTGGAGACGTTCGTGATCCCAGCAAAGACGAAGTTCACTGTTTTACTCAGCGTTCGCCCTCAAATGAAAATAACCTTTTCATTCTTCATTGCCATCACTGTTGTTAGCAATTCTACAATATTGTCTGGGTGTACATCAAGTTTTAAAAGTTCCATAATGTGCTCTAGCACTTTTCTGTCCATTTTTACATTAGTAGTCTCTAAAAACTGGAACAGGTCATCAAAATATACTGCCCTTTCCTTCGCTTTTGATTTTTCACCTTCCGTAGTAAGACTCGACAAGGACTCTTTCAAGCCCTCAGCTTCGGCTTTCAGTTCTGTGATGTCTCTAGACCGGCGTTTTTTCTGCATATAAAGATCATTCTCTGTGGACGGTCCGGCCATGGGGCTCTTATGTTCATCGCTTTTCTCAGCTGATTGCATCCGTATTACAACTGGCATATATAATTTTGGTAGGACACTGTGGGTTTTTCCGAGATTTTCTCGATGCTTTCAGCGACTGTTTTCTTTACACTGTTGTAAAAAAGCAGGTAGTTTCTATCAAGATGTCATTCCTGCTGGTATTATCATAAAGAGAGGAATACACCTCCAACCTCTGCTACGAATCAGCATTTGACGTACATAACAGGGTTTTAATTTGAATTTTAAATCGATTTTTCTGGCACATGTGATAAAAGCCTTCAGATAGCTTGGCAACGAAAAATTAAGACCGGCATGCATCTTTAATCGTACAACGGATAAACTAGGCTGATTTTACGGGTTGCAAGATTTCTTGGCCCTTTGGTGATTGTTCCTCCAGCTAATGCTGTAGCTGGCTTTAAAATCTATAAATCATATCAATAAGCCAATAAGGATCCATTATGGAGGAAGGCGATTGAAACTGTACGATAGAAAAGTGTTTAAAACTTGAAAACTTCAGACAATTTTTTTTAACAGCAAGAAGGATAAGTTAGTCCCTAAACGTCGCCGAATTTTGGTTCTATTTATTTCTATTCTATTTGTTCATTATAATTTTTTTCTTCTGTGAGGTAAACAACACTTATAAACATCTTCGGTCGTTTATCATACATAAATATTCGTGTAAAATACTAGTTTATCAAAGTCCTTTCATTTAAAAAGCAATTGCGTGGAAGATCTATAATTAATCATAGGCGTGATCACATCGTGACAGAGTAAAACTTGAAAAAACTACCATATTCAAAGCACTTTTTCTGCCACTTTCACAATCTGTTTACCAATGTTCGCACCACGCATCATTTCAACAAACGCCTTCCCAGTGTTCTCCAGGCCCTCCACGATCGTCTCACGGTTCTTTAGCTTTCCCTCTCGTACCCAAGACTCCAGTTGTTTCTTTCCATCCGGGAACTTTTCCATGTAATTTAACACCAGGAAACGGTCACGTGTTATATTCCTGGTTTGCAGTATGTCTTGAATGTCCTGGGGTATTGGGGGCGGATAAGGGACATCTTTGTTGTAAAGTGAAATCTGCCCACATAATACGATGTGACTGTCCTTGTTCATGCAGCGAATAACCTGGAACAAATGAAAGATTAAAAGTGCCATGCTTCATTGGAACCCTTCTTTTGCGACTCTTGCGACTTCCAAGTGAGTCCCCAAAATGAAGGGCCTCTTGTTTTTCACACAGAGACATACATGTGAATGTAGCCTCTTCTTAGTAATGCATTGATCAATTTCAAGCTTCAACATCCATTCCCCCCCCCCCCAGCAACAACCCATGGTCATTTGACCCTTCTCTGCGCCCAATTCTCTGAATCAAAGTTTGGTCTCCCAGTTGAGAAAAAAAAAAAATCATAAAAATCATTTCTAACCTAGAAATAGCCATTACTCCCACTAGAGGACTGCCTCTTTTCAATCAGCAATCCAGGTACTCTTTTAGGTCAAACAAATCTTTGCTACTGGAGTAATACTTAATACCAAGACCCATCCAACTGTTGGCAATCATGCATTCCAGTCAGCTGCACCTTATCTTTGGAATGCATTACCTTCAACAATTTGCAATATAAAGACACTGACACTTAAGGCCACTATTAAAACTCATTTTTTTAATTTAGCATTCAAATAGATTTTTATTCACGTCTTATCTTTTAACTAGTTTAATGACTAGGCTATTGCTGCCTTTGATTGTATAAATGGGTTTGTAGTATTTAATAGTTTCTAACATTTATATCTGCTTTGAACATAATTTTACTTTGACAATATTGTGAAGCGCAACTGAGTATATCCATATAGAGGTCTGTGTTATATAAATGTAATGATTATCATTATCATTATTATGGGTAAGAAATTTGAACACATTTTTTCCAGGGAGTGGGAATTTGAACAAACAAATCTTCAATAGTTCCAATGCCCAGGGATTGCACAGGGGGAGAAGGGGGGGGGATGTTGAAGCTTTGAACTGATCAATGCATAAGTGTCCTTTGCAGCCAAATTTTAAGAAATCAGAGCTGTTTTCTTTATCACAAGCTTACACCAAAGACTTACTTCAAGACTTATATTTCAAAATAAATTTAATTTTTTGTAATCTTCATTAAAAAAGATATTTTGTGAGTACCTCACTATAAAAATAATTCAGTTAAATTTACTATAACTGAGTATAAAGCAGTTCTCTCATAGAACTCCTGAATAATTTGGGTAAATCTGTCAAACACTTTCCCCCTCCCCCCCCCCCAGTCTTTTGGGAATTGAAATTCTTCCATAGGTGTTTATGCTCTGCTGGTATGAAGTGGAGTTACACTCTCACCACAATTTTAAATATACATAGTTATGAAAATATCATATTGAATAAAAAAAAATTAACCTCAGCCACTTAAATACATATATCTTATTAACCAAGCGCGAGGCCTGTACTGGGAGAATATCGGCCCAAGGTCTTGACAGTACAGACCGAGCGCAGTGAGGTCCGTACAAAAAAGACCAAGGGCCGATATTCTTCCTGTACGGTCCCGAGCAAGCTTGGTTAATAAGAGATTTAATACACGACTGAAGTTCAAAGGGACACAAGTGCAGTATCATTCGGGACCATTCGGGACAGTGCCCGGTCCAATACTGAGAGAATATTGACCGGCAATAGAGCATTTTGATTGGTTGATTTTAGTTATTGGCCCTCTGACTTCCCGAGTCGTGTAATAAATGTAGTAATTATTGTTTATATGAGAAATACAAACTCACCTCATTGCTTATTTCACCTCCAACATTGTCAAAGTAAACATCAATTCCTGCTGGACATTTCATTTGCAACTGTTCACTAATGTTTTCTGTGGTCTTGTAATTAATTGCTATATCAAAGCCCATCTCTTCTGTCAAGAAGCGGCACTTTTCATCAGTACCACATATTCCAACAACAACACCACAGCCTTCCAGCTTTGCAATCTGAAAAAGTAATCATTTCCTTGTGTTGTAGGCATAGTGGCCTGAAGAAAAAAATTTGTACTGATCTGCAGATTAAAAGGTCTTATTCACAACCTAGAAGGGTCAATATAGCTCAAAAAGATTGATCACCATCTAATATGGTGGAAACTAGAGAAACAAATCCAGAATAAAGGTAGAAATTTGTTAACTTAATCAACCTCTTGAGATGAAAATACATATATTTAAAAGGGGTTACACTTTGGAATTTCAAACTCTTTTTAAATAGTGAAGACGTAAATCACATGTTTCCCAAAGCATACTTCTCCTTTAGTGATTTAGAGGAGTACAATAATTATCAACCTCTAAGACATTGCCACAAGAGTCACATGTAATGGTTTCAAAGAACCCTTATCCTCTTAAAATGCACATTTATACTTCTGCAGAATAAAAAGGTGCTTTTTGCTCTAGTCTCGAAGAGAGTTTTTCAGAGTTTTGATAGTTTTGTCTCTATTGCAATAAACACCTTAGATGATTCAATATTTTTGAAAAAATAAAGGGAAGAACAATTTTAGCCTTAGAATGGTGATGAAACATTTGAGGATCAATTCATTTTGATTACATGCTTCCGCAATTCTCTGACACAGAAATCAAAATTCAACTTGAGAGCGGCTGTTATGACAACATTTGACTGTAGTGCTACAATAGAATATTTTTTTATGGACAGTTGTCTGTTCAGGGACGTAGCCAGGATTTTTCAAAGGGGGGGTCACAGAGGCTACTCACCAGATTGTCATGTCGACCTCCACACCGTGCATGTTTTATTTAATGTTACAGTTTTGGGATGAGCAGTGAGAGTATAGTGGGCAGGCCAAGATATTGTCATGGCATTCTCACCACCTGAATATTGTAGGTTGTTTGTTCAAAAGAAGGCCAACCAAGGGGGGTGGGGGTTCACGGGCACCCCAGGACCCCCCCTGGCTACACCCTTGCTGTTGTATGGTGATCCACTTCTCACCTGCCCTGCAGCTATCCCACAAGCCCCAGCAGCACCACTGATTACCATGACTTGATTGGCACCAGGCTTAATGTGTGCTTTTTCTTTTAAGCCAATATATGATGTCAGTCCAGTCAAACCCACAATTCCCAGCAACAGAGATGGATTGGTACAAAGATATCCACTTTCTTCCTAAATAGTTAATACAACACATCAAAGCTAGTTCCTCATAAAATTGATAAAAATAACCAAGGAAGGGTAAAAGCACAGTTTGATTTCCCTATCTGTATCTACTTAGTCTAAAGGACCTGCTTTTGATTACCGGTACTAGACTAAGTGTAAATGGAATCAATAACTGTGTAAATGGTTCAAAGGGGACTAGCATGGTACAAAAAAGTAACAACATCCTCTTATGCAAGTGGAGGTCGTCAGAATGTCTTCAGTGACGTTGAAAATTCGTTGGATTTTTTTTAACGCAGGAATTACGCGCATTTTACCGAGCGGAAGTTGGCTGCTGTTCCCCCCAATTCAAATTCACAATAGATGAACCCAGTTTATTAACTAATATACCTTTTGCAATGTGGGGTTTGCAGTCACAGGAAAAGTTGAAAATTCTTGCCATGGCCATCCACCCGATTGCACGATATCCCCTGCGTGAAATTTCTCGCTTCTGCTCTCAATCACCTGACCCACACCTCCACCGCTGGGTGACTCCCCGATAGACCACGGTGTCAGATAGCTTGTTCCAGAATCCTCATTCATTCTACATCTCATGTATGGATCAACGGATAAATACAGTGTCTTCACCAAGATCTCTCCCTCTTTGCATTTTGGAATTGCTCTTCTTTCCAGAGTGAAGTTCGATTCGGATGGTGGTTTGTCTACCCCTGGGCGACTGAGAAGAACGGCAGCTGTTTGAGTTTCTGCTGCCATCTTTGTTTATGTCCACGAGGGCATGGGGAGAATGGGTACACCAATCACACCACGCGTTACTTAGTGGAAGTTGACCTCGGGAGCTAGGACCAGATTCCTCACTGATGAATTAACAAAACTGACCACAGATTTTACCGATTTATAATTTGTTTATTCAACAGAATACTCCCCACACTATCGAAAAATGTAATATTTTTGTAAACTGAAAGATCCGCTTTATTTTTGAAAAAGAAAGTTTTTCTTTTTTGGCAGGCGTTCCCGTGACATGCCAAGTTCTCTCCGCTTAACTTTTTCTTGACGTCCGTTCGAGTTTGTTCTATTCTTTCCTTCTTTGACTCTTAAGAATCAACGTAATTGTCGTTTACCATTTTCATTCGCGTCAACTGAATTGACTTTCTTGTTTTCACTAGCCTGTTTTGACGGCCTTTGCAGTTTTTTTCCTTCGACAGTCGCCCATTCGGTTTTATCATATATTGCCTCTTGATCGAAATTTCTTCAAAGACGTATAGACTTGATGACGGATTCATTTTCACCTTAAATTGACTAATGGTCGACTCAACTTATTCTTCAATCGATCAATCGCGTGCTTATCAAAGCGTGGTGATTCTTTTGAACTTCATATCATGACAATCACTCTCGATTTACTCTCGAACAAAACTAAATTTAATCTGACCCCGTGTAGAATAGAATCAATTATTTTTTTCACTGACACCCGTCGGTCTAAACTTGAATTATTTTTTTAAATAATATTTTAAATAATGGTTAACCTCGGCCAATGTCTCTCACAAGATTTCTAAAATCATTATCCAAAATCTTTTGTAAAAATTCATACGCCAGCTCGGTATATCTTTTCAAGTTGAGCTTAATGTGTCCAGTCCATTAATGTTTAATCCAAAGCTCGTCGCCAGAATTCAGCCGTTTATCTTTAAACATCTTCCGTTGGGAATCATTAATATGCAAACATTTGGTTTAACTATGGCAGTTATCGCTTCACGCGCGAGAAAAGAATTACCTTCCCTTGAGTCGTTCGCTGCAATCAGAGAAAAAATAAAAACATCAAATCGATCTTTGTTGCCTGTGGACGGAAAAGAAATCTTCTTGATCTAAATTAACCAAATCTTAAATCGGCCTCTTGCAACTACGATGCCCTTTTAGCTAGAAGAAAAGAGCTATTAAACAAGCGGCAAATAAATCCGATATGAGCCGCTCACGGAACAATGATCTAACTTCTTAACTTACACCGTTGGCTGATTGATTCGCCTCGAGTAATAATTTTTCTTAACCAAATTCAAATGGTGTCCAGCTTCCGATCCTAAGTTCTAATAAGGTCCGGAGACGAAAAACAGAGCCATATGATCTATATAGTTACTAATAATTCCGCTTTTTTGAAAAACGAACGATTATCAAACACACTTATGACTTATTTGGCTCCATGATTCATGTTGATCCACTAACCTCTGTGGAATTTTTTTTTCTTGTCCAAGAAATTCCCAAAAATAACAAATTCTTATATATTTGTGATTTCAGTCTGAATTAAATTTTAAAAAAAATCATTTTAACCGAAGGTTCTGGCGTTCGAGACGACTGAAAGCTTGAAAATCATATCACGGAATCAAAGAATGCTAAAATCGCGTGAGGTTAACAACTGTATTTTCATTCCGCCCTCAAAATCTCTTCAATCTCTCTTCACAGCTCATCCACACTCTGGAAATAACACTTGCTTTTAGCGAGCGCTGTATCAAAAAAACAGCGTTTATCTCATCTTTAGAGCGCTGCGATAGCAGAGCACTTTGAACCTAAAACATCGGCATTTTAGCCGTGTTTCCGACTTGATGTCTTCCGCTTATAAGAAGCTCGCGTTGATTTTGTTATCTACAATTATTGCCTGCAGCGCGTGGACTTTGCTTTAAATGACGGCTCAGAGATTGCGCATTCATTCCGGCAGCAAGACAAACGAAGGCAGCTTGACTTTGAAATCAGCCATGGCCTGTCCTCCATATCCACCCGAAGTGTCCTATGCACCTTTTCAGCAAATGGTTCGCGAGACACCAATTTCAATGATACCCTCGCATCCTACTTCTTTACCGCCAGTAACTCACTGCAGGAAAATGGACCCTCGAGCGAATATCCACGTGGCGTCTCCCTTCATGCTTAACCCTATGGCTAATTTTGACAGCGATCCCGGTATGTCAGCACCACATCACGGCTTGGGTTTTGCCATAGACACGTCAAAACTGCGCGAGTTGGAGGAGTTCGCGACCCAATTCAAACTCCGCCGCATCAAGCTAGGTTTTACACAGACGAACGTTGGTGCAGCATTGGCAACAGTCCACGGCACAGATTTTAGCCAGACCACCATCTGCCGCTTCGAGAATCTTCAACTTAGCTTCAAGAACGCTTGTAAACTGAAGCCGATTCTGGCGCGCTGGCTTGAAGAGGCCGAATGTTCTGGAGGGGCGTGCGGTGATAAATTCAACGCTGAACGCCGCAGAAAAAGACGAACCACCATCGGCCTGACTGCTAAAGAACATCTTGAAGATCATTTTCTTAAACAACCAAAGCCTTCTTCCCAAGAAATCGTCCGCATTGCCGAGGGATTGCGCCTGGATAGAGAGGTCGTGCGAGTGTGGTTCTGTAACAGAAGGCAACGGGAGAAAAGAGTAAAGACGTCACTGAGCATTCACGGCTTCCTCGGTTGTAAAAGCGACTCACTGGTGTGAGAACATGAAGAAGACTGAAGCGAATGCAAGTAAATTACCTTAACTTCCTCCTTGATTAAACAGGTTATCAATTTAATAGGCAGTTAAGTAAAATCGTTGTTTCTTCGAACCACTGCAAATGAACTGTTGAATTATTAGAATACATCAAAAAGTGCCCATTGTTGTACACAACAACTGACGGTTAAAAAATAAAAAATAACATGATCTAGCCACCTTACCTTAAAGATCATTCATTGCGAGTAAATATTTCTTCAATAATTCTAAAAATGGTCTAAAAAGGCGACGAAAACTATGGTTTTCTATGCATAATGTACAGAAGAGACGTCTTTTCATAGACTCGAAAGAGCACTTTATCATTTAACTTGTTTATAAGTCCAGTATATTATTAAAATGAATAAACTGAAACAGTTTGCACGATGCGAAAGACTCCCCAGGCTAGTAAAGTTGCCCTTAAAAGTGTTTATCTTTACATGTATTCAGAAATAAAAGGTAAACTAAATCGAGCTAAAGTTTAGTATTTTATCGCACGGCATAAATATAAAGTGAACCATGCATGATCAAACTAAGTGATTTTTATAATAGACGTAGGTATGGTTGAGATCGAAATAAAACGTGTTTATCATTTGAAACTAGGCGAAGTTTTGTGGAAATTCTTTCTTTATTGTTCTCTTTCAGAAGCTAGTTTGCTACTAGAGACATCTGACCCATAAGACATCTTCAGTTTCCGTTAATAAGCGAAATAAGTCTGTCTACAAGAAACATAAATCAAATAACTGTTGTTCATAGAATAATTTCGACAGTTTCAATTCGCCTCGCGTCTGGAACAGTTGTTTAAAAAGAAAAGCGACTGCTTTTTACAGTAATTTATCGAAGAGGATATTGGCCTATCGCGTTGGGCGCGCAACCTCCAAATTCTCTTTGTAACCCGCTAATCAGCTTTGAAATCTCCTGTTCTGATACATGCCATAAAAACATCCGCGAGCTCAAAAAGGAGCCATTTAAGTGTCAGACTCCTAGTGTAAACATCGCATTATAATTTTGGTAAAAGTGCATGAATTTGAGTTAAGCTCTATCGTGTGGGTAATTGAGGTGTAGACTTAAATACAGAATATTTTCTCTCGGCCAACGACTTGATTTCACGTCCTATCTACCTGGTCGAGTGTGGTCGCGTATAATCTTATCCCTTGGTACCAAAAGAAATGACAGCTTACTGTACGTGCTTCTTTAAATTCCACGTGTAGTAAACTAGTGGGATGTCGCTGATAAAAAAAATGATACGAGACGTGGTGAAAATGACAAGCTGAAGCAATAAAGACGTCAATAAATGGCTACCCAAAAGGCCCAAACAAGAAGAAAAAGTATGCAACCATTGATAGCGCTTTAAGATTGATTGTCATGAATCTTACGGCCGTTAAGAGGCTAATTTTTCGCTCCCTTGCTTTACCCGTGCACTTGGACGCCAAAGCTAATGCATCGATCAATTCGAAGCCTAAACTTCCCTTCCCTCGGGACAATCCCCGGGCATTTGAACTTTTGAAGATTGGTTGGTTCAATTTTCCGTTCCCCTGAGCTAAAATTGTGCTCAAATGCCCTACCCAAGTGCCGGATTTGATGGTCAATTTTTTTGTAAAAGGCAAGATCCGTGACTTTCTTGTAGAACTTTTCGTCTGAGCCTTGTGCCCGCACTGGTAAACACGTGTATTCCGCAGGAGGGACTTGACTGTTCCGATTCAAGTTCCTCACCCCACCCCACTCAAGCAAGGTTCAAATGGTTTACAGTCAATTCGCCACCAGAACAAACTCGCCAATACTAAGAGTCAACTCGCCGCTGGTGGCGAAGTAACTCGGTGACGATCATCATTAAGGGCTCTTTCTCTGAATTTGTAAGGCTGTTCGAGACTTTTTTTTTTATTGCAAAGCACGCCCATGAAGATATTTCCCGAAACACTGCGATTGCTTGTTTATCTTTTCGATCTTGATGGATATATTAATGTTATTTTAACCTTATGGATTTCATTGAAAATCATAACCATTAAAATTTCCTCGAATGTGATTGGTGCATTAGCTGCTTTATTTTTCACCAAAAGATTATGAACTTTTTACATTCTCTATCTTCGTCAGTTAGACTAAGTTAGTTATCATTCATAGCTGGTCCAGATTTTTTGGGTACAATTCTGTAAACCTTTCATTTCCATTTAAATCCTCATGATATTTCGCCATATTTAGTTTTTATGACCGAGGGCGAGCGAAGGCTACCAGTGGCTTCCTGAGGAGGATAAACAAGCACGCGAGAAGAAGTTCAGCCAAATGTTCGTGCTTGCCTCGCTCTTAATAGTACGTCTAAGTCTCAGAAAAAAAACTTGAAGAGACTAATTGCCCAGCTTATGTGATTCTTTAGCTGCTCGTGCCGATAAAGCGTATTATGGAGATAAACGATGTTCAAGCTCGGCGACATCATGCGTTTTCCTCCATAAAGCAATCGTATTTTAGTATTTACACTGGGATCAATAATTTGATGGATTGTTGCTATCCGTCATTAGTTCTAATCGTTTTACAGTAGTGCCTGAAGATACAACGGTTATATCGATTATTCACTTGGAGCTAGATAGTGCTACAAGTTAGACATGAGGTAGGAGAGATTCCTAATTTCCCTGCAGTTTTGATACTGTTAGTTACTTATTACATTAGAGCGCTACATTTGCAAACTTATGATTCAGCGGTATCCTGACATTGTGACAAATGTCACATATCGTGTTGAGGTGTGATCATTGATTGCCATTCGTGCTATACCGCTCGTTTTGAATAATTGCTCGTAGCTACAACAATAAAATCGATCTTTCATTCAAAGACAGACACGAGGAAGCGATAACGAGATTTCCTCGCTGTTTTGATGTGGCTGTTCGTTACTTCCATATAAGCGCAACGACAAAAATTTAATATTTCAGCGGTATGCTGTATCATTTGTATGTCACGCATCTTGTTATGCAGCACAATCAATTGAGTCACTATTTGCCTGCCATCTCTGGTTCGTTGATAGACTAACGTTGCTTATTAGCTATTCCGTTCGATTTACATAATTATCTGGAGATATAACATTGACAGCAATGATTCATTTGGACACAGTCATGGGCAGAAGCACAATACAGGCAAGGGGAAGATTCAAAATTTCCTTGCTGTTTGTGGTCATGATCACGTTCGTTTTAGCGACGTTTACAATTTCATATTCCTTGACGAGTTATTACCATAAGTCCTCGCTGATCGCAGGAGTCACAAGTTTGGAGAAGAGACACTACGTGAATATCAAAACATGGGAAGGTAGGTCCCCCGAGGAATACTAATTCACCTTTTCTGCCTTCTATATAATTCTGATGATGTAAATCCGTGATGTAAACTGTGGAAAGAATTCCAATCCCATACTCTTACAAAACATAGCTTTAGTCCCAAAAACAATCAATTGTTTTGCCACAGTTTTTCTTTGTTATTATTATTATTATTTTCCCAGTACTGTATGCTTAGTAAAGTACGGTTATAGACGGAGATTTTCGCATGGTTTTTAAAGGCAATAGTTTTGTCCTATACTTGCCGGTAAACTAGGTCTTCCGAAAAAAATACATGTACCTTATTAGCCCTTACAAGTAACAATTGATAGAAAATAGATTTGATTTGGCGGCTATTGTCATTTTGCCAGACAACAAACCAAAACAACTAACGAAGATGGGGGTAAGATTAGAAATTATGTGACCTCCTCTGATCACGTTTCTTCCTCTATATTATCGGATTACGAATTAACCTGTTGCGATCAACTTTACCAAAAAATTCATACACTATTATTTCAGAATTGAGAGCCAGCGAGAGCAAAATTTCTAATCAGTAGAGAGTTATTAATGAAAACTCGTGGTAAATTGTTTTCCAGTCGATCTTCAAGCAGAATGCTCAGAATATACGCATCCTCATTTTTCTTATAAATAAGATTTTAAAGGTTCTTCTTTCTACATCGAAATGGCGTCAATGAAGCTCTGCGGTTCGTTAGTGAAAAGACTTATTTCATATCAAACATTAAAGAAAGCTTAAAAAATATGGATATACAGGGTTCTTAGTAAGCTCCATAGAATAATAAAATGGCAAAAAAAAAAACTGTAACAAGAGGCTGTTAAAAAGAGCATTCAAAATCCTAGTCACTGCGGATTTCACTGATTTACTTGTCAGCAAATCAAACAGTTGACACGGCTGTTATCGAAGAGTGGATTCGTTTTGTTCAGCTTTTGTGCTGTTTCCAATCTATAGTCTATTGATTTATCGCTATAGTGAGTGACAACGAGATATTTTCCGATGGATTTTTAATCGTTTGACTGTCCTTTTAATTTTCCTCACGTCAGTGGAGATCATTTGAAAGAAAGCATATAAAAAACACGGTTAAGTACAGGATTGCCATTGTTAAATGGGTCAAATCAATGTTGTCACAGGTCTTTTCTGATTGAAAGACGTTTCTCTGGACGAAGTCACAATTTTTTTGTTATCCTTAAATCGGCAATGAAACACTGATTTTTCTTCGATTGGCAGCATTTTTATTATAAGAAAGTTAAACCATTGGATACACGTGTGCATAAATTGTAAAACAGTTCCCAAATTTAAGCAGCTGCTTCGCAGAGTAAATGTTCACATTTTATAATTACAATTTTTGGCCTGTATGTGTTCTCCATAGTATTGGAGGGGTACAAGTAAAGTGGTGTTGAAATAGCCATCAGAAAATCAATTCAAAACAAAACAGAGTGAAAATCGTCAGGACGTGAATAAATTAATGCAAAAACGCGACTTGCTCGCGGCATTCGGGGCCGCTGGTATATTTACACCGTGATGCTTTTGTTTCATTTTGTGCTGTTACGATGAGTGTTAATAAGATCCTGGAAGAAAAACCTTCATACCTTGTAGGAGAGAGAAAAAAACAACAACGCCCCCCCCCCCCCCGAACGGCAATGGGATGAGAGAACAAATAAAACCATCCCCATCATCCTTGTGAAAACAAGCAGGAGAAAAATTCAACGAGAAGTCCCCTTAAGAATTATGTACCCCTCCCCGTAACTGTATCGTAGTTGATTTGCTCCCGGGGGAAGCCGTAGCCAGTAAAAGCCAGCAAACACCTCATTTCATTTTATGTACTTTAGTTTTGACTCATAAGTACTTTTTTGTCTTTAGATTTTTCACCTGTGAAGTCAACACAAAAAGCGGTGAGTGCCGTGGAGTTATTCCATATCATCATTTTTCCTCTGCAAATATCTTCAGTGTTCACATAAAGATATAAAAGCGAATTCGCTCGTTGACCCTTTCAGATGCAAGATCTGAAAGTTCGTTATCGTTGCTAAGGACAGCGCATCTTTCAGTTGGCTGATCCTTACAGTTTGATGTTATAATTGAACAATAAGCCTCATTTAATATTGAAAAAAAATTCTTCCAGAGCGCCTTTGTCGCCTAGTTCCTTCAAAAAAGAGGTGAACAGTGGTGGATGCTAGCGGCGAGGTTTATACTTTCACCGGCACTGGAAAAAAATGATCAAAAAGTGGTCAGAATTGACGCGCGATGTTGTCTCTTCGGCTGCCCGGAAGTGAATAGTACTTGTCAATCACTTCCCAGCTAGCTCCAGCTAGCTAATTAGCGCGCGTGAAAAGCTCCCTTCACCTATGCGGCATATCCTAATGTCCTATAGTTCGTTAACAAGTTTGCTTGTTTCCTCGTATCATGTAATGATCTCTTTCATTTCTTCATTATGGGGTTTTCTTTCAATCCTTTTTTCGGTGGCTCTCCGACCAATGTTGATTATCACTATTCCATGTGTGTTTTTTTTTTTTTCCTATGCTGCAGAAAATAATCATCTACAACAGAGTAGGCAAGTGTGGAAGCCGCACGATGATACAGCTCATGATTAGTCTCACAGGAAAACTTAATTATACAGTGATTGGTTCAACCATGAATAGTGTTCTACATCTAAACCTTCGAGAACAGGTAACGATTACCTCTTTATTTAAATAGTTAACCCTTTAAGTCCCAGAAGTGATCAACATGAAACTTCTCCCTAAAATATCCATACGTTATCCAGTAAGCAGGTAATGAGAGTACTTCAAACTTATCAAGTAGAAGTTGTTATCTTGATCTAACAGCAAATTCACGTAAATAATTAACAAGGAAATGTGTAGCAGCTAGAGGGGAGAATTAACTGTCAGATCTTGGGAGTTAAAGGGTAAAGCATATCAAAGCCAACACAGAGGGCAAGCGTCTGCGCATGCACGAATGTCCTAATGACTAGGTGACGTGCTTTTATGCTGTTAGAGCCAGGTTGTCTCACACGAGTTACAACAAAAGCACACAAGCCAGTTGGTCACTGTGTTTTAGTAGCGTGTTATTTTTTGGTAAAGCTAAAAACGAAATGGTAAATAGGCAAGGTACTCGCACTTGATTAAGCTTTGTATTCGAAAAATATCGAATTTTCCTTTTCCTACGTTTGTTTCCTTTCCGAGACTTCGTTCGTTTATTTTGCGAGACAGCGGTTATTTCTTATGTTTTCCTTTGAAATTTTGCGCGGGAAACCAGTGCACAGGCGGCCAAACTTGAACTCCTTGCGCATGCCTTATGTTTGACCGCTGTGTTATCAAAGCCGGGAATAATTTCGAGAATTAACTTCTCGCGCCCTCCAAAAATAAGTCCCAAGATTCCGATTAAGGGCAAACTCATGACCTTCAGAAAGCCTGTAATTTCTCCATCACCCAAGCCTTCGCCGCTAATCACGCTGGTAGGATCTGCTTTCGAGAAGAGAACCAGACAGGTGTCTAATTTGTGGCTCTTAGTTAAGATTAACTGGGACAAGCAAACCCTTGGAAAAAGACTCACAGAGCTCGTTTCCATTGCGTGTCGTAAACACCAAACCAACGCTGAAAAGAGGAAGCACCTCCAAGTGATGAAAACAGTTACTAACTGAGTCACGATGATTGGGTGGGAGGATTCGCGATCTCCAAAAACCAATCAGGATCACAGAGCGGGATAGCCTCAAAGCAAGGCAATCCCAGACTACTTTGCGCGTTTTGGGGAATTTGCATGGTTCACATGTCCTTTTTTCTTCCTTTTTTTGTCTTGTTTGAATGATCGAATATCAAACCGTTACGCTTGCAGCTCGAATTTGTGGATTTCATAGACCATCTTCACTCACCAGTTGTTTATCATCACCACATACATTTCGTCGACTTTAAGAGGTGAGAACTCCTTCATCACATTGTTTCATCGACCATTACCTCGATTTAAATATTCAAATTTCAAAACCTGACCTTGTAGACCTTTTCATCTCCATAATTAACAAGTGTATTCCACTGGAAAGACTTGACCCTTCCTATTCAAATTCCGCACCCCACCCAGGAAAGGTTCGAATTTCCCACCCCCGGCCACGAACGACAGACAAATGGCCATGAATTTCCTCCCCCCGGGGGGGGGGAGAGTTTGAAGCTTCGAAGTGATCGGCGCGTTTGGTGTCAAGAACTGAATAAGTATCTTTTTTTCATCCTAGGTTTGGCGCTGTTCAACCTATTCACATCAACCTCATAAGGGATCCACTGGCCCGTCTTGTCTCTTCATACTACTTCCACAGATTTGGGGATCATAGAGAAGCCCAAAGAACATGGGGTTTCAAAGGCACAGATGAAGAGAAAAATATGGTTTGTGTTGTGTTAGCTACCAGTTTGTCTTGCAGCTGTCCTTTGGTATGTCACGCCACGTTCTCAATTCCCGCTACTTTTTGAGGCGTTGTGTGACATTCCAAAAAATAGTTTTGAAGAAGAATAAACTACTCTTTCTCCATCCACCCCACCGCAAGTGATTAGAAGGGTTGGCTGTTTTTAAATGCCTCTAACATTCCTATGACAGATTTTTTATTCTACGTTTCCTGGTTGATAGCTGTATCTAATGATAATCAAATCAGTTCTCCTGGACCATTTTTTGCGCTTTGAAAGTACGATTTCGATTGTAAGGTGCGGGCGAGTTCGAACCTTGGCGAGGTCACTACATGTGATGTTTGGCAATATTCCTGAACAACACACTGTACTCTTACAGCGCCTCTTTACATCCAGGAGTACAATATTAATTGATTACCTGCAAACTGTCATGAAAGCCCAACCTTATGGTGGACTAACATCTCTTCAAGGGGTTAGTGGTAATACTCCTAACTGGGTAAGCTCCGCCTGGATGAGTTTCCAAGCTCATAAGCTGACTTTCATTTTTATTTTCTCCTCCACCCCACCCCCACAATACATATTTCGCCCCTCAGAGCAGAGGAGCGTCAACACAAACTTACATTGATAAACTGAAAACCAACGCATTTAACTCCCAAAAACCCCACTTCTTTTAAAAGTTACCGATTGATTTTTCCTGCCTACTTGTCTCTTTTTAGACCTTCGACGAATGCGTCAAAAATGAACTTAGAGAATGCGTCGATCCTCAAAAGATTTTATACATCATTCCTTACTTTTGCGGCCATGAAGCTTTCTGCAGGTGAGAACAGAGAAGATAAGATCACACACAAGTGAACGGTGCTTTTTGTGTGCGCTGATTGGGTAGCTTGGAGCTGATCAGCCAATTATTGTTTAGCATTACATGTATTAAGCCTGTGAAGTTTCATATCAAACAGTTGTTCACCACGTGTGGGTGAAAGTAGTGGGTATTTACCTCCTGTAAATAACAAATAGGTAGTAGCTAGAGTGAAATATTTGTTTTAGCTCGGTTCGGTCTGTCAAGAAGACTTTTACCTTTAACCAAATCCAATTTTTTTAATATAATCTCTTTTCTTTTTATCTATGTCTAGGAGACCTACGGAACTAGCTCTTAGACAGGCCAAGATAAATGTCATTAGAAATTATTTGGTTGTTGGTGTTACTGAAGAATTGGAGGATTTTCTGTCTGTTCTTGAGAAACTTCTACCAGAATTTTTCGCAGGTGTATTAAACATGTACAAGACTCCAGGTTAGTGCGTATCAAAAGAGAAATGTAAAAAGAAAAAGAAAGGCCTAACGCAGAGTTTCTCTTTCACTTTCTTGAGCAATTCAATTTGTTGAGAAACAAGCAAGACGTTGTTGTAGACACTAGTTATGAAAATCCAATTATTATCAGAGGGTCGCGCCTCTTTACTTATCTAAACGTTCTGAGTAACAGCAGTGACACGGTGCGATAGTTAACCTCAAAATTATTTAATTTCTAAAGAGACGGTGACACAATATTTATTTGAGTTTGCTTTACTTCCCTGTGATTGGTCCAAAAATTTCGCGCCATCTTCCGAACCAATCAGGTTCAAAACTTTAAAAAATTGCGCCTTGGTCACTCACTTTTATCACGCTTTGAGAATTTTTCTTGTTTTTACTGTGAGTTGTCATTGGCTTGTTGTGACATTTTCGTTTCCAGATTCTGGTTGGTCGTTGTGATTACCGTTGCTATGGTTTTGAGACGCTATCGAAATGCGCCCTAACGAAATGTAAAGCGCGGGGCACTGGGCACAAATCTTAGATAAAGCATTTACTTTTTCCTTTTTGAGGTTCCTAAATAAATTTTACCTTTTTACAGACGATGTTCTCAATTCCAAAATGACATCAACTAAAACCGTGAACAAGAAAGGACCCTCCCCAGAAGTGCAAGAAATAATGAAAAAACATCTACAATTAGAATACGACTTTTATGAATTTGTAAAGGTGAGATTTCATAGACTGAAAGCCGAACTCAGATAACAAAACGATACAGTCTTTGAAAGCATGGTACAGTTGTATATCATCTATTTATTACGTTGGCTGGTTTTTCATCCATCAATAAGATACAAATCCTCTGATCACTCAGACGTCTGATATGAAAAAGATGTTGCCGAAAGCTCCGATAAAGATTGACCGAAAAATGAAGATTGAGTTCGCCAAGAATTTAATCGTCATAGACATGGGTTAACCTGAATTTTAATGTGTATAAAAAAAAAACAACAACAACAACAGAAGTCCAGGTTTTATTCGAGATCGGTTATAATTCATTAAAATCATTCATGAATGCAATTTAGGATTGTAATTTCGTCGTTTGAAATTTCGGGATACCATTTTAAATGTTGTAAACATTATTAGTATATACTAAAACAGTGGATAGCATTGAAGGCGCGCTCTGATTTGTCACTCAAACTCCGAAACACTTTACTATTCACCTCCGAGAAACTCGCGCAGGATTTGCACCCGAAAATAATGTAATCGTTGCAGGAATAAGTTAGTTAAAATCATATTTTTGTGCTATATTGTCTCACTGTTTTAGTATATACTTATAATAAACAATCCACATCAACGTGAACTTTGAACCAAAAGCATTGGCATTTTAGCCGTGTTCACTTGATCTCTTCCGCTCGCGTTGGTTTTATCATCTACAATTGTTGATTGCATCGTGCGGAATGACTTTAAACGACAGTTCAGAGATTGTGCATTAATACTAGCAGGAAGACGAAGGCAACTCCACCATCTGCCGCTTCGAGAATCTTCAACTGAGGTTCATGAAGGCTTATAAGCTGAAGTTGAGAGATTAAGAATTGAGAGATTAAGGCTTTAAGAGACAGTAAAAGTTGATGAGATAAATAAATTAAGAAAACTTTGACCGTCTGGCAGCTTTCTAGCACCACTTAGCAGTGTCACGGAGCGCAGCTCTTCCAGTAAAGAGCAATCTAGGGCACTTATTTGTGCTCTTGGTAGACTACAAGCAATTCCTCCTTTTAGGCGAAGTCCGTCGCGCTAGTCAAAAAAAAATCGGGGGAAAAAAACTGCAGTTAGCGCACCGCGGGTAACTCTTGGAGTGACGCCGATGCACCACGGGAGCTCCATGAGTGGAGCACTTTGCGAGCGAGTTTTGCAATCTTTATTTACTCTGTAATAATTTGTGAATAGAGATGCAAGTGTGCGACAATTGGCTCGTAGTTTAAGCCTAGATATCGATGTTTATTGCGATAATCTAATTCTTAATGTCCTCACGGTCAGCAACAGTTGACGTGACAGTCAGGGACAGTCCCGGTAACACAATGTAAATGGAAGACTTCCCGTTCTTGCGTCATGCTATCGAATTCTCTCGAATGTTATATTTTAGATGACGTAATGCCACTAGAATAGATGTGTTGCGAAATTTGCCCACGGCCGAATGTTCTAGATTATTTCGATAATTGTATTTAAGGGCTTGGGCTCCCACAGTAGTGGTAGAGATTCTTGTCGGCAGAAAGTGACTGTTGAGAGGAGCTAAGAGAACTACGATGGTTCCTCAAAAGTCGCCTGGAGCAATTTGTGTGAATGTTTCGAGAGAAGATTTCAGGGGAGACATTTTAATGTTTACAGTGAGTTTAAGTCAGTCGTGACTAAAAAGTTAGATAGAGGCAGACCTTGGTGCATTGTTTTCGTGAATTTTATTATTTAAGAGTCACTCTTTTGTGATTATGACCTTTCGAAAGGAGTGTTTTGTACATGGTGTTTTGTATCGTAAATTTCCTGTCTCGTAATTTACGTTCGAAGATAGAATTTAGAGATCCCTTGACTAGCTTTCATTCCTAGATGCCGTGGTTAGATGTTGAAATATCATTATGAAGGCCTTGATGCAGATAAATGTACTGGGACAAGTGCATTGGGTTTTGCTCTTCTCAAGTAGCTGAGTTTCCTCGTTCACGGAGGAGAGGGGGTGGGGTGGGGTAGACACTTGCTTACATCACCTTAGGGTAGGGTTCTCTGAGTCTTTGGTATTAAATAGGGTACCCACAATTTTGCGATTTTTCATTTGGAACAAGGTGTGAATAGATGATGGCATTGGCTGTGTGTGCTCAAGAGGTGTGTTGCTCAAATCGAATTCTAGCCCGTCCCTGTTCGATAACTTCAGTATTTGTCATTATGATTTTACCCTTCACATCTGGAGACCAACGGATTTGGCCGCAAACCGTGGGGAGAGGTGGAAGGGGAGGGTTCGATATCAAGTAGCACCACCTGCAACTTCAAAGTGGCTTAATGACGATGATGTTGGCCTATCTTAGCGCCTTAACCAAGAGCTTCACTCTCCTTCGTCGTCTGTTCTCTTGCTCTTAGTAACTTTGGAAAAGCAAGAAGGGCTGCTTAGTCTGTACGTCTGAAGCTCTCAAAACGTGCTCCCCGCACTTCGCTACCCTGTTCAAGTACAAAGAAGGACGTGAATTGAGGTATTTTACAAAAAGAAAAACTGATAGTCGGTACCACAACGGAAATCTGCAAACAAGCCAGAAGGCAAGAGGACACATGAGCCTCTAATCTCTTTTTCAGGGTAAAGATCAGAACAATTGGGGGTCTAAAGTGATCCTCCACTGCTTTGTTTCTGCTTTACTTCGCTGTGTGATTGGGCCGGAAAACCCGCGTCGTCCTCACGATTAATCAAACTCGAAACTAAAACCAATGGAGACTTAGACACTTTTGTTTTCCAAAGCTTTATCTTTATCTAGTTTTTACTCTGTGTTCTCATTAGCTCCTTGTAACATTTTTCTTTCTTCTCATTGGCTGTTGCGATCACTTTGGTTTTCGGTTTTTTGGGGGCCACTGGCTGTTGCGATCACTTTGGTTTTCGGTTTTTTGGGGGCCACTGGCTGTTGCGATCACTTTGGTTTTCGGGTTTTTGGGGGCCGGGCTCCTCTGTCAAATGCGCTGATGCTGATGCAGTCGATAATGAACGAACACAAGAGACGAAAGAAGCAGATTTCCCTGGTGTCTGTATCATTAAGGAAACCGGAACGGGTCGAGGAATGATATATTTATTAGCTGTTATGGCCAAAGGCGCTTATCGGGGGAGGGTGGTCATTGGTTGGGGTGGGCGTTTATTTAAGGGAGAGTGTTTCTCTTGCAAATTCTTACTTTCGCATATTTTCCTCAGTAAAATGAAGTCTTTACTTTCCATCCTGGCTCTACTATTGAAGGCGTCGATCATATTCCCATTTCATCTTTCAGCAAGAGGAAATCATAGATTTGTTCGTTTCTCTTGCATTTGGCTAGAAACTACCGTGGAAAGCTCAAAAGAAGGTAAATAAAGTCACTTTTGTTAGGAAATCCAGAGTTCAGCAGTCCTTCGAACGCAACGACCCTTGGAAAGTTGCAAGCGACGGAAGTAATTTCCCTCTCAAGAGCTCTCCGAAGGGCGAAAGCAGTAGACCTGGAAACGCCTCTTATATCTTTACATGCCCACACTAAGGCTTCTGTTGTGATCACTTCTCTAAAATAATTCTTATCATTTTTCGAATGCACGCTTCACGGCACAATTCGTGTAACCTCGAACGGCCCTCGCAGTGTACCATTGCATGCAATTTTTTTCTTCCAACAAGCGCTTGCAGGAAATTTGTTTTCAAAATCACCCACGCCCCCCTCAAAAGTTCAATGGTCGGCCCCTTACATCAGACTCTTGATCGGGATTTTCTTTAATGAAATGGTGTGTTGCAAGACTGTTTTTAGCCACAGTCAAAGACGCCTTGGCCTCAACAAAATTCCTCGAATTTCCATTTAAACCGGATGACAATCCGGCGTCGTAAAATGAGATGCAACGGCACGTGCCATATCAGATCTCAGGAAAATTAATCGAATCTCAATTTCGTGATATCATTTAGTTCCTCATAAGAGGAATACCAAAGTTAACACTGATGTACCACATTTTCACGGAATTTTTTTCTCCAATTAACCAAGGGAATATCAGTATGTCTAAAAGTGCTAATAGAACTAAGTCCTTCTCCTTACGTTACAAAAGGTAACTTTCATTAAGAAAAAATGAGGACAAAAAGCCGACAGAAGTCTCTAGGAAAGTCGATTCCTTTTAATTCTTACTTATTTATACCATCGAAAAACCCCGAAGGCAATATCAGTCCTTGTACAGTATCTTATGGACAGCTCCAAAGTATTGGCGCTGTGATATCTGCATTCCTTTTGATATTGAAGATGGTTCGCTGAGTCATACAAATATGACCACCTTGAAATAAGCCCGGCTTTTACATACAACAGTACGTTTCTAGAGATTACTTTCCCGGCCCACCTGGTAGGTCCACGTCGCGTAAAAAGTCTCGCGATGCACATCAGGTGTTTTTACGATCACGTTTTCGAAACTTCTCGAAGAACTTTCATGCGGTGATTGGGCCGGATGTTATCAACAAAAATTAATTAGCGATGATAAAACAATGGTATTTGAAGCGTGCGTAGAATCACGAGATTTCAATGTTCTTCAATAGTCGTCTTCTTCTCTGATTTTGCTATTTAATTGGTTCAGCAGATCGTGAATCGACTCCATAGCGATAATTTTTGCCTGCTGGAGCCATCTGATGCCGACTGCGTCGATACGGTTCAGTTCGGCCTGGGTGGCCACAAGCAAACCTCTCAAGACTACGAACTCACGACTGTCTTTCTCACCCGAGAAATTATTCACTTGCGTTTGTAGATCTGTAACTCGATCCGATATCGATTGAATAGCAGATAGATTGCCAAAGTTATTAAATAATGCGTCTGTGTCGATGTTCGTAGAACTTTCGAATACTGCTGACGAGTTGGAACTGTTCTGTGATGACGCACTTACATGAATTTCGTCGGGAACTTCGGTTTTAGCAGACGCTGACGTTGATGGTACAACTTCCGGCAAATCGGAGAATAAAATCACATTTTCCGTTCTTTGGTTTTGCGGCCGTTCCTTCTTTTCATTCGGAGGAAGTGTACCTCCTCCGATCTCGTCTCTAGAAAGTTTAAAATTATGTGCTACGCCACTCTCTTGAGGGCTAAATGCAGATTCCATGTCTTCTTCGCATAGCGAGCACTTACAATTTACAACATGTCCCCTCGAATTGTACTTGCTTTGGGCATTTCGATTCTCCTGAAACTGCTGATACCATGGCTTATTCCATTCTACCTGCCATGAGGGGATTTCATAGTTCGACGATGTAAACTGTGGAAATCTGTCCCTGTTGCTTCCACCCGACGCCATGTTGTTTCGCTCGAGATTTTTCCGTTCAAAATAAATTCAGTTATATAATAACGACATGAGAAGCAAACACGTGTTTGCTCCAAGTAATCACGCGTAACAATTGTGAATTATCTGAACGAAAAATCAGGCGGTAAAGAAACAAATAAACCTTCTCAAGTACAAACACACTTCGAGAACATTCAAATTCGTGACCACTTGGCGTGTTTCGGTATCCAGCTGAGTGACAAAAGTGACACCATTGGGGTGGGAGGGGAAAATTTTTGCACATAGTTTTTCAGCGAGCTATCATCCGATAAACTCCTTTAAAAAATTGCTTGAGAGAATATAAAATCATAAAAACTTTAAATTTTAGCTTATAATGTTTTCCAAGGAGGGAAGCTTGGCTAGGGGGGGGCGAAATACGTAGAAGGTAAACGCCTGGACGAACCCGTGGGCTCCCCCACTCACATGAATTGTTTTTCGTGCGCGGTTACATGGTTATTACTGTTTCCAGAACATTCGATCCACTATTCGACATGAAACCAATTGTGTTAGTTGGTAAACGATTTCGAAAGAACCCAGTGTCCACGCTTTGTGCGTATACCTTGATTTCTGCTTGATATCTTTTCAGTGGAACAGCTATTCCTTGTTCCGAGATTTATTCGGAGAGTTGAGCTAGTAGTGAACAGAAGGCGTATATGGGGAGAGACTTTTATTCAGTTCTTGGGGTTCCCCGAAATGCCTCGGAGGAAGACATCAAGAAGGCATATAAACGGCAAGCTCTTCTATTTCATCCGGACAAGAATAAGAGCCCTGGAGCAGAAGAACAGTTCAAAAGAATATCTGAGGCTTACTCAGTGCTAACAGATCCGGACAAACGACGAATATTCGATGCATATGGCGAAGAAGGGCTTAAGAACGAATGTGGCGGGTTTGGTTTCGGTGCATTCACAGACCCCGTGAACATTTTCCGCGATGTCTTTGGCGATGATGCTGATTTACAGTTTTCAGGTAGGTGATGGATTTTTATTATTGAGAGAGTAGATTCAAGTGTGAATTTGTCCTACATAGTTCAAAGTCGTCCATCTGAGCTTCTTAACGATATCATCGAGAATAGATGGTATTAATAAACCGAGTGGTTACAGATGTTTTTGTCTGAATTTACTACACTGGTACATTTTACCTCAAAATAAATTCAAGAAAGACTGTTGATGTATAGCTTGAGTTTTGTATGATATTTAGTTACATTTAGTTTGGTAAAATTCTGCGCGTGGTTGCCGAGATCGCTCAACTCGAATCGAACTGTCATGAAAACTAGAATACAATATGTCTTGCGCGTTTTCTAGAAACTTCTATATTTTTATCTTGTTGATATTGCACTCTTTTCGGACCAGTTAGATTTCGATTTGAGCTTGTGTGTCACTATTTTTATTGGGATCTTGTCAAGTATTCTAATTTTTGGAAATTAAATACAAAATTTTCGCCTACGATGAATCGTTCGATTTGAGGTTTCAAAACCCTAACCTGGTTGTTTCATCAATGTATTTTCTGTTATTTACTGATAAGTGTAAGGGTTTTAATCTTCGTCGGCAAGCATTGCGCTCAGCATTTACGTAGTTTCTTGGTATTAAGTTATGCCTGACGCACTTATAAGGGTGGCTTGACCAGATCAACGTGTTACTATTTATTTCTCGAAAAAAAATTCGTTTAAGTGGAACAACAGTCGGCGGTCTCTAACTTTACTAGTTTGTTGTCAACTGTGCATCTCCTGAAATACGTGTTCTACTGAATTTTGTCGGTTTGTACAGAAGTGCAAACGCAAAAATCTTGAATTGGCAGGTTATGGCTTTCATTACAATTTTTAACTCTGAACACTTTGCATGTTTGTCGTTTTTCAAGCATATCCGATGATTCTGGAATTTTCTCTCGACTACAACGTATATATTGACAATTTTTGTGATTGGTTTTCGCTTTGTTTCTATTCTGATTGTCGCTTCAAAATACAAACCTTGTTGAATTTGCCAAATATCAAATTCCTGCTGAAAAGCTGTGATGAATTAGTTTATTGTAAAAATCTCCCTCAAGTAGCATTTGGATAATGTTTCCATTTCTGACATAGTTTTGCTTCAGTGATACAATCAACTGAAGGGCCATGAAATTGCGTAACGCCATCATTAGCTACATATCAACCACCTCCCTTCATTTTCCTTTAAAGAGTCACAGCAGACCTTGATTCAAGAAATAACTAATGGCAGTTGTAGGCCTATTTTCGAAAATTAAGTAAATTACTGAGTGCATTTGAACTCATCAACACTCGTGTGCTAATGAAAATTGCCAACTTCCCCGTTCTAGAATCTTCCATTTAATTAGGGGTTAAAGCAGTTTCATCTTGTGAAAGCAATAACACTCTGGCAATTAATATTAGTTCCTTGTTTACACCATCTTTGAAACCAAATAAAAAGGAATGAAATTATTTCAGTCTGGAAGTTTCTTATGGAAGCAATTTCATTTTCATGGATGTGACAAATCAGAACCCCAATTTCCTGGTGTGTTCAAAGTGTAAAAACAATGCAACATGTCTCAAAATTCCATTTCTTCTGGAACGTTTCCAGTACACTGAACCAGATAGTTCTCTTCATTTAATCTTCAGTTTTATTAGAATTATGGTAGTCAGCCCCAATACCTAATACATGCATGTACTTCTGCCAAATCTTATTTCCAACTAGAAGCATTGTTTTTAACTACATGTTTTGGAAATGGAAAGTATGTAGTTAGAGTTTTTAAACTAATTTACGAGACTCCGAGAGCACATAATTTAGGTTGAATTGTAGTTTCTTTTAGCAGTAATCTTTTCACATGAAGACAAAGTAAATGTACTTGGTCACATTTTTGATTGCATATATTTCTTTTCTTTTACAGACTTCATGGATGGAGGATTTCACTCCAATTTCTCACGCTTGTTCTCCACCACACATAACACATCAACATTTGGAGGTTTTAAACATTTCGGTGATGATGATTTTGACTTCCCTTGCCCTGATCCATTTAAGAAACAAACTGTTCAAGATCCTCCTATTGAGACCAACATACAAGTTACTCTAGAAGAACTTGCAACTGGATGCACAAAACGACTAAAACTGAACAGACAAGTCTTATCTTCCAGTGGACAGGCTTCTCAGGAAGAAAAAATTCTGACAATTGAGGTAAAACCTGGCTGGAAGGCTGGAACAAAAGTAACCTTTGAACGGCATGGAGATCAGAAACCAGGTGTAATTCCAGCAGACATAATATTTGTTATCGGTGACAAACCCCATCAGTATTTTAGGAGAGATGCTGAAAACAATCTCCTCTATACAGCAAAAGTGAACCTGATTGATGTCCTTCGTGGATGTGTGCTTCAGATTCCAACTATTAATGGAAGAGTCCTAGCAGTGCAGCTGAATGAAGTTATTCAGCCAGGAACACAAAAAAGAGTTCCAAATGAAGGCCTCCCTCTTCCAAAATATCCGGGAAAAAGAGGCGATATGATAGTGACATTTGATGTAGAGATTCCTACAAATTTGACGATGGAACAGAGACAACATATTGCCGGTTGTTTTTAGAACAATATGTGTACAAGCCGAGAGTATATTAAGGATAGTGTGGAAAAGTACCAACGATAGAAAGATTATTTCCAGTTGGTAGAATGATGAATGTATTTTTTGTATAGGTTGTTTAAATCATATATTTTTCAAATGATATTTTTCTTGCTTAATTGATACGCAAATTATGGCACATCTCTATTCATAACTGATCTTCATGTGACTTAAGTCATTTTTTTTGGTGTTAAAACATTACTACAGTTGCTCTCTTTCATTGTATATCCATTTCCCTTGTAAACTTTTTATTGTGGCTTTTTCTTAAGCAAAAACAATCCTCAACTTTTTTGAAATTCATACCTATATTTTGAGCTCTTTTATCCATGTGTTGGTAGCAACTAGAGAGAAAACCACGGAAGTTTTTTAGCGAATGAGTCAACATTATAAATTATAACAGTTATATTGTTGTTTTGACAAAAAAAATGCCTTTGTTTGTCAGAATGCAGCTTCATATAATGTATGTGAGGCTAATAAGAAGTTGACAAAGCAGGTTTAGCTAGCTGCACTTTGATTTATTGGGTAACAAAGCATTGGCTTGAACTGTATAGAGTTAATATATGCATAATATTTATCTTATGGACCTACGATTGTAGAAAAAGTAAAATATTTAGGGGATAGGGTGTATTGTTGTATAAAATATGTTATTCTTTTTGCATTGTGGATTGCTGGGTGTTAAAATTAGCTTAGATTTTGTGTAACATAAAGTGTTAAAATTGGCGATTTTTAAATCAATAGCACATTCACAGTTCCAATAGTAAATATTAGGAATGTCAGTGAGCAAAATATTTGTTGATAAATCAACAAAGTCCAGCATGTTATGGTTGGTAGATTTTCGTGACAGAATGCTGTATTATAAAATTTTAAAATGAGATTGTTTTGTAGGTTTTATTGAAATTTTTATTAGATTGGGTGTGATTGTGTTGTTGTCATAAGTGGCTTTTTGTTTGCTCTACTTTTTCCAAGCTTAGTGTGGTGTTTTCTTCGGAAAATTTATGTTATTGACTCAATGATAAGGTATAATTCAAATGTGTGAATGCATCTAAAATTGCATTTACATCAATAAATTACACTTTACTTGTTTTGAAAATTGTTGGTAAAGTTTTGTAAAATAAAATTAAAAGGGGGTCAATTATTTGTAAGTGGAGGGGCGGTGGCCTCGTGGTTGGTGCACTCGACTCCGGGTTCAAGCCCCAGCCAGGACATTGTGTTGTGTTCTTAGGCAAGACAATTTACTTTCACAGTGCCTCTCTTCACCCAGGTGTATAAATGGGTACCAGCAATTTAATGCTGGGGGTAACCCTGCAATGGACTGGCATCCCATCCAGGGGGGAGTAGAAATACTCCTAGTCACTTCATGCTACAGAAACCGGAGTTAAGCACCGGCCTAATGGGCCACTAGGCTCGTAAACAGACTTTACCATACCAAATATTTGTAAACTCTCCACTCCCAGAAATGAGTAATACATAAATTCCCTGTACATTTTTTGATAAACAAGTTGGAGATTGAGGCAAGGAGAATTAAGAAAATTGATATCAAACATCGAGAATTAATGAAAAAAAAATTTTTGGAACTAGTTTAGACAAAAAGGGTATTTTATTTAGAATAAAAAGTTTAGGGAAGCAGGGATGGCGTAGGGAAGCAGGGATGGCGTAGTGGAGAGAGCACTCGCCTCCCACCAATGTGGCCCAGGTTCGACTCCTGGATCCAATGGCATAAGTGGGTTGAATTTGTGTTGGTTCTCTTCTCTGCTCCGAGGGTTTTTCTCCGGGTTCTCTGGTTTTCCTCCCTCACCAAAAACCAACATACAGCTGATTCCAGCTGGCTGTAAGCTGTGCTCCAAGGTCACACATGGACCGCATAGCGGCTGCCAGAGGCGCCATTGTAAGCTTTCAGTTCGACCTTGTTGAGCTGCGTCATTGCTGTACTTTGCGACGGCGATTAGCAGTGACAATTATTATTATTACTATTATTATTAGTAAGCTTTCAGATTCTTTGGAGTAATACCCAATTACCTGAGGTTATCCTGATTGAAAATAATTTTGCAAAGGTATCATGGCAATCCCCAATCCTGCATGATGTAGTTCAAATGTTGCAAGTTTTCAATTATTATCAGTAGTAGCACGGAAGAGTGTGGTGTCTTTCTTCATACAAAGCAATGATCTTGAGTAGTGATTACTACAGACGTGTTGTTAAAATTACTATCAGTTTTGTCTCTCACCAACCCATTCTGTGACATATACTTCCAGTAAATAACTTCCCACTTTTGATGCCAGACTGTTCTGGTTCTATCTTATTGCAAATCAAGGGGCTAATATGTTTCTCATATCAGGAAAGAAATTGGTATGAAATGAGGTCATTATACTTGAGGTGATGATTTCATCAAATCTCTACATTCATTTCTTTTCTTTACAATGCAATTAACTTTATGGAGAGAAGCTGGGTGGTGTTTACTTCTGGGAGTGAAAAGGGCTAAATGTCAGCCCCACCTTCTGGTTCAAAAATATCTTTAGGAAACATTACTCCTAAGTGTCTAATCAGACTAGTATCCTAGCTGTCACTATCATAGCACTACAAAAAAAATAATAATAACATAAAATAAAATAAAAGAGTAGCTTAGAGCAATTGCATGTGGAGTTTTTTACTTTGCATGAAGAGATAACTAAGCTGGTAGAGATGACTTCTTGTGAAAGCCAACAGAATTATTTGTTTGATGTTATTGTTAGGGTTTTGGGATCTGACAGTGCTTGACTTTCCTTTGCGTTCCAACCATTTTGAACTTAGGAATCAAGGAAAATTTCCAATGTGATCAATTATTCAGTCAGGTCTGGCCTGGGTGGAAACATTGAAACAGTATGTTGCACATGGTCAGGGAATTCCCATGATAAACTATAGCATGATTTGCTTTTAACCCTTTAACTGCTGAAAGTGACCAACATCTAATTTCTTCCTACAATATCGTCCCTGAATCACACATCAAGGTCATGAGAATTAAGGAAATGATCACCAACTCAAGAAGCTCTTGATTGTTAAACAAATTTCTCCTTGTCTTTGGTTGCTTCCTCAACCTTTGGTTGTTTTCTCAACCAATCACTTCTACAATGGTGATGTGAACACTGGTAAACTCTTCCCTGTCACTCTGGCTATAAGCCTCTTTTCCCGTTAGCCACATTCGCTTAAAAAAAAAAGTTAGAAAACAAGAAGTTACAACAACAGTAGCATTTGACAGTGTTCTATTAACAAAGGCTACTGGTTTTCCTAGGCAGTGTGAACTTTTGTCATCCAGCAAAGACACATACTCCAACTTTACTTATTAAAGAAATCCTCTGGATTTATTTATGTTTATTACAGTCTATACAGTTGTTCAAATCACAACTAAGTGATGGTATGAAGCTGATCCAGGCAATGGAAAGAAATATAATTTTAGATAAAGTCCTTAAAAGCTAGCTTTCAAAGAGTTTTGCATTGTACTTCTAACAAATGAAAACATTTGAAGTGCCAATTCTCTGAAAACCAATACATTTTATGGACCTTGATCTAGGAAGACCACATGTTTCAATTAAGATTTCATATAATTTTCTAGAAGTTGAAAAAAAGTTCTACCAGCTAGCTTTGATATTTGCTGTGTGTAGATTATTTAAAACTTTCAGTGATCTTTCCAAATATCATATCCTATTTTTGGAAACATCTCTGATATTTTCACACTATTTTAGGATTAATTGCTCATGTTTCACAATCTAAGCAGGTAAATGTCTACCCGCAAAGCTCAGAATGTGCAAATTAGTCATTTTCTTATGCCTTACATGACAACATTCTTTTTTAAGAGAGTTGGTCATCAAGGGAAATATAATGGGACTCATGTGCTACCAGGGAGTAAATACCACACATAAACTGATATCACTGCAAAGTAGTGGGTTGAATTTAGAGAAAAACATGTAAATTTAATTTTAGACATAAAATGTGGATAGTATGGGGAAATGATGAATGGAAAAAGAAAGAAAATTTAGAATTATCACATCATGGAGGTTAACATCACATTTGAGCAATCATGAAGGAAGGCACTGAGTTGAATAAAAACCTTTGGATGTTGTACTACAATTATTAGAAAAATCTGAAAAAAAACAAAAAATGTTGCCACCAACAACATTAGATCCTTCTTGTCAAAGAAAGCAAATATATTTTGTGTTGCCGCAAGGCTGTACCGTAATAGATCACAAAATACGTCAAAATTTGGTAAAAACGTCAGTGACACACTTGGCGGCATCTCATGTGCCACTTTTTTGTTCCAACCACATTTTGACATCACCAGTGATCTATTTCTGAACAGATGCACGGCAACATGGGACATATTTGTTAAATGGCATATAATGTTGATAGTGAATCAGATGTAGTGATTTAATCTAAACAAAAACAAATAAGAAATAAACAACACGATCAGCACTAGATCACATGACCAGGTTTATTTGAAAAACACTAACAACTGCACATGCCACTGGCACAGAGTACCTTGAATAAATACCGTATGAAAATAGTTTAAAAAAAATTGAGACAGTGAAAGGATTTGTTCTATATATTATTCTGGAAATCTTTTTCAATATCTACAGTATTTTTTTTCAATATCTAGAACTTTTTTTTTTTTCAATATCAACTTAAGGAGCTGAAAAAAACATGTCTATATCCACCATACTTTCTATTAATAGCTAAGTCCAAAATAATATTCTTAAAATATCTTAAGATACCGAGCCTTGCAAATTTAAATCAAGAGTAACGACAAGAGAAAAAATGGCCCTGATCAAAAATATTATATTATTAATTCATTATACATCATATCATTGAACAAACGGTAACTATTTACAGCATCACACGAATTCGAAGTTTTTTTGTTTTGTTTCAACATCATCTTGGTAATGTATCCAATAAAATGTCTCTCTGAACTGAGGATAGCTGATCTGGAAATCGGATGTTGTACTTGACGATCAAGTCACCCCTCTTCGAGGGATTTTTAGGCAGTGGGAGACCTTCACCCTGAATTCGTTGTGAAGAATCAGGATTTACGATGCCACTTAACCTCATTTTTATCTTTCGACCATCAATTGTAGGAACCTCGGTTAGTCCACCGGTCAGGGCATCTCTAAGAGAGATGTCTGCTGCGTAGATTATGTTATTGTTGCTGTCCCTTGCAAACTTAGCATGCGGTTTGTCTTTGACTATGAAAACCACATCAGCAGGGACGATACCAGGTTTACGATCACCCTCTTTGGGAAAAGTGATTTTGGTTCCTGCCTTCCATCCGGGCTTGACATTCACTGTCAATATTTTCTCTTCCGTGCTGAAAAAGCCACGATCGTCTAGAACTTTCCGTGATATCTTCATCTTTTTCGTGCAGCCATTCAAAAGTTCCTCCAGACTCACCAATAGATCTTTCTCGATCGTGGGATCTTGAATTTTTTGTTTCTTCGTTTGAGGCGCAATGCCATCGGTGTCGAACATGAAATTTCCCATACCGTTAAATGTCGGGCCTGCCTTTCTATCACTGAAGAAGCTAAATCCCCCTAGACCGCCAATAAGGTCCGCAAATTCGTCGTCATTTCCAAACGCTCGAGCAAAAGTTTCGCGTGCATTTCCATTCGTGAAGACGAATGTTCGTTCGAAACCTGGTCCGCCTTGAAAATGCATGTTGCTGTCAGTTCCACCATTAGGAACACCATGTAGTCCTTCTTCTCCGTACTTGTCGAAGATTTCTCTTTTTTCCTTGTTACTGAGGACATCGTATGCTTCGGAAATTTCTTTGAATTTGTCCTCTGCTCCTGGGCTCTTGTTCTTATCCGGGTGCCATTTTAAAGCGAGTTTTCGGTAAGCTTTCTTGATTTCATCGTTCGTAGCTGTTTTTGAGACCCCTAGGATTTTGTAGAAGTCTTTCCCCATTATTTCAGCGAGGACTCGGTCCTTTCACTTCAAACACTTTATCGGTCTGCGTCGCTTTCGTGAACGTGGTGGTCTTTATACTATGCGGTAACTTTCTCGAATATTCCAGAAGGTTCTTTGTAGAATACACTTTTAGGGGATGGGTAGGTGTACATATACACTTCACGAATTAATTTCTTCCTCGTCCCTTAATCACATACACACAAACTGTGAACTCTTCGAGCTCTATCTTTATCTTTTATTAAGATAGGGTAGAAAAAAGTGTTACAGTGTGTCACCTAAAAGTTTATTTAGGACTTACCAAAAAAATAACTTTACCCCACCGTGGAGAGCAAACCAAGAATCTTCCAGGGTTTTCCCGAAGGTTCCACTCATTTCTAGAGAATGACTCTCATATGTATTAAAAATAGGTAGTTACAAATCGTTCCAGCACGCTCTATCATTCTCTAGAAATATATAAACTCTCCGCTATAAAAGTAGCGTCCCTTATGCTATTTCATAAAGAAATTTGAAAGCAGGAGAAGAATTCACGTTTGCGAGAAGTTCACTATATTGACGATGTACGGTGACAACATTTACGGAGATCCTTGGGCAACTGACTATCCACCTCGACGCGGCCAGTACGGAGGAGACATCTTCATGGGCTTTGGCGATTTTTACGGGGAAAGGCAGTTTCCCTTTTGGGAAAACCCAGGAGTTTGCTTTCCACCTACCAACCCACGAAAAGTTTCAACAAGGAAGAAAACAAGACGGGTTAAACAAGATCAACAAACGATGGATTATGCAGTTGAAGTCCCTAAGCAGCACAATGCAAGGGAAAACCCCTCCTCGAAGCACGAGGGTGAGAAACGGAAAGGGGACACAAAACAAACAAGTTCACCACAGCCAAAATTAACCCAAGCTGAGTGGAATATACCTATCGAATATCAACCCCAGGAAGAAACTGTGGCAACCAACGACTCTCACGAGGAAACTTGTAAGGAAGAAAATCCGTGTGATTGCACAAATGCAGAGATCACTGATAATGAGCAACAAGCCGCTGAAGAGACTGATAAGACGTCAGACCATTACAGATCCATGCCATTGACGACAGATGTCGAAAGTGCAAAGGAAAGTCGACCGGTAGTCGATAATCAAGGTGACTCACAACCTGAAATACAACCTCTGAACGAACAGAAGCTTGCTGCAATAAAGACTGAATTGGCGCGAGCCACAGAACTAATTCCCAGGGTGGTGGCCTTCAACGGTAAAAGGAAGGACAAAGAATTCCTTTATTTGGAAGAACATTTAACTCTTTGCATACTTGGCTTAGACTTAATCGAAACGGACGGTCAAGAGAATGTAAAATGTGCTCGAAGGGCAGCTGTGAAATATATCTGTTCGATCCTCAATGATCTAGAAGATAAGGTCAGCGATGAAAGCTAGCATTACTTGATATCAACGTGATCATTACGATTCTGTAGCTTCCTGAAGTGAAAACTCGATCCAAAATCGAAGTGCTTCATTCTAGAACACTGCTTTCTGTTCAGTGGTATATAATTTTGCGTCAACGTTAAAAAAGATCAATGTAGACAATCAGATATTAGTGAGCTTGTAATTTTCAATCCTTGTCAAATCTCAATCAAGGAACGTAAACAAATTTAAGATTTTTTGATGTATTTGATTTTGTATGTAGTCATTACTGGATTTAACTGTAAATAAAATGTTTCTTTTTTTCAAGTGTATAAAGTTGATTTTTCTCAGGAACCTTCGTAGCTAGGAAATTCAATCCATAAGAAATTGTTTTTGTTTGGAGAGGTGGGTACCTTTCGCGTGAACAAAATTGTTTCTTGAAAAGGCCGCAGTTAACTTTTGGAATTTCAGAAATAAAACTTTTTGTTCTTGAATCAAAGTTGAGTAAAACTGATGATGCTTCACGAAGCGAAAATTATTTCACCTGTAAAATATCTCCAAGCACAAAGCTTTGAGTTGAGAACGAAATATTTCAATCACGCAACACGAACCATTCAGATCACACAACACTGTTGACTGCGTCACGCGTCCAAATTTTGTCGGTGTGTCGCAAACTGAACACAGCTGTTGCATCAGAGTCGCCGTTCACGCTGAAAGGAAATTTAAAAACTGCTACCAGCGATGATAATTCTTCTTCGATGTTCAGTTTCTTGGTAATTTACAGAGTATTAAATCTTGATAAGATTTTAATTCTGTTATGACAGGTTCGACTACTGGTACGGAATCGGAACAGCTTTGCCTGTCCCACGCTGACAAATGAGTTTGTCTATTCTGGGAATCCATGAATTCGGATACTCTTATTTCTGTGAAAATATCTTTATTTTTACAGAAAAATAGGATTAATAGGGAGATAGGTTTTACCTTACTCTGAGATCACATGAAAGCCTTTCTCTCCCCCCGGCCCCCTCCCCATGGGCCGACAAAGTCGGGAAGTTGAAATTTGAGTCGATGCACTTGAGCAATGCTAAAAAATATCGAATATGAAGGTGTTTACCAAATTTCTTTGGAATCATCAGTGATTTTGCACTAAAGCTGAAGAGAAATATTCTGACTTTCCTTTCATTCACTCAAAGTTATATAATAACCTCAAAAATTAGCTTTTCGAATACAATAGGCGATTGACATGATTTTTAAAGCATCTAGGGGAATAAAAATTTACTTCCCCAAGAGATGAAATGTCAAAAATCGAAAAAGTACTTCAAAACTGTTACGATGATTCAAATAAACAGGGATCCTCCAAGCGTAACTGGCAGTTCTAATCACTTTTGACCTCTTATTGTTGTCCTAAGTGTTTCTCCCCATATAAGGTTGGCTTTTTTTAAGGAAATTTTTCCTAACAGGAAACTCTAACGCAACGACTTCCTGCCCCCAAGTTGACGATGACATGGCAACCTCGTACCTCAGCTGTTTGACCTGATAAACTTTTCTAGATTTACCTTCAAGATAATTTTAAACATCCGTCTTTTCGGTTATGCACTCTTTTTCGTTAGCCCCTTTACCTCTTTTGTTGTGATTGTAAAAACCAAAATTTATCGTTTTCCATACCACAGGAACTTCTATGGGACTCTTACCAGCCGCTCTTCTGCTCAAGTTCCTCCTTCGGAACCTTCAAATCCCGTCTATAAACACCGCCACGACTCTAATTCGAAAACAAAAATATCTTTTATAAAGTAAAATCTAGCAGTAAACTTTTTTTGTGAGCGATAAGTTCGCATTAAAACAAGCCATATGTAAATGGCACGAGTTTTTTTTATTTGTATGTACAAAACTTTCACACAGAAGTCGATTAAATCCTAACACACAGCCAGCTGGTTTCAAACACGATTTACAGTTAATTACTTTTTTCTGCAGCATGTTTCGACATAAGCTGATTTTCTGAATTTCATTTCATATAAAGTTGATATTTTTCTTCGTGATTTTACATCTCACGTAATAGTGCTTGAGATGATTGTTAATGCAAATGTACATTTACAAAAGTCCTGTTTCCGCGCAGAGCTCGTTTTCGATATAAATCCATTCTTATTACTGTGGAGCATTTTACCATCAGCGAAGCTGTCCAATTTCTGCCAAAAAATACATAGCAGTAATATGTCTTCGATTATCCTTGTGGTTTTGTGGCTCTCCTGCTCTCTTCGATCCTCTGCGGTTAGCTTTCACACAAAGGAAGGCATGTCCGCAATGAGGAAGTCTTAAGCTACAGATTGTTGACAGACTGTAGTAGTTTAATATTAATGAAATATATTTTTCACACGCATCAGCTCAAAATCAGCTACCACAGAAGAAATCCGTTGTGTCAGGGGTATCTCGAGTGAGAACACCTCTGCGATGAAGTTCCCTTTTTCGCTTGGAGTCTTGCTGCTGCATCCCAGAGTCTACAATAGGATAAACAACTTGAAGATGTGGCGCGGATACGGGTAACGCAACTCGAGCCTGATCGCTTAAATTTCCAGGAAAGTTCGGCAGTGTCGATTGCGAATAAGAGGGTAGATTATGTATGGTCGTTTCACTTCTTTCCCGCATCATTGCCACTTCTTTGTCCCTTTTCTCTCGCTCAAAAGCGTTCTTGTACATGTCTACCTCACGGGTGAGTGTCGATATTAGGTCTTGACAGTCTGTGATTTGTTCTGAAAGCTCGGAGACCTTACTCTCTGCTTTTTCTTTGTCACTTCTCTCTTTCTGAAAGTCATTTTCGTAAATACTTAGCTGTTCTACGTAGAGCTCCAGCTCAGAACATGAATTGTCCTTTCCAAGCGCTTCTGCTAATCTCAAGATTTCCGACTCCAACACTGTTTTGTGATCCTCAAGTGATATAATTTGCGCGCGTGATTCGCGCAAACTATTCTCAAGAGCTTCGATTTTCGACGCGAGATCTTCCGCTCCGCCTCGATCGCTTACGCTAACGAGGGAATTAGTATTAGAGCAAGCGGCCGAATCACTCCCTGCTGTCTCCCATTCTCTGAGTCTCTTTCTCAAATCATAACATTCTTCCTTCAACTTCCTTGACAACTTACGTTCGTTCTCCAAATCCGCGTTCAATCGTCGTTTGTCCTTGAGAAGAGAGAGAACGTACGCGTTTGTTCTTTCTAATTCAAGTTCGATTCTTGCTTCTTTCGCATCCTTATTATCATCCATCGAGGTTTCGGATTTTAGCAATTTTATTCTTACGATCTGTGCATGCCCAACCGCTCGTTCTCTTTCCTGACTGCATCGCGTAATGAAGACTATATAGCTATCGTGTGCGGAAGTTATAGCAAAGAGTAACGTCACGTGACATATGACATTCTCAGAAGCCAGTGCGCAACTCAAGTGATTTCACCGACATGAATACATACTCTGTTCTCACCTTAACTAGTTTTTGCTCTAGGGAAAGCTGAAATATACATTTTTCGCTTCGAGTTATGTCGAAGAGCAGCTGTAAGTTGCGGAAATTGCATTGACATCATTAGTGAGTGTTGTTCTCGCACACCACTGCAGAAAGTACGGGAAGACAAGACATGAAATCAGACTTCCTGTTGAATGATATCACAATTTTGCATTTTGTTTACGTTCTAAACAGCAATATGGTAAAACATCACTACAGAAACGCACTCAGTCGCTAGATATGTGTAAAACGTAATTTAGTGTGTTTTTACTGCCGACAAAATGATTTATTTTCTGAATCCCTTCGAATTCGTTTAGAATTCTGTCAGGACACGAACCTAGTACAGTGCAAATTAATCTTGTATTTTGAGTATCTTTGAATTAAAAATACGATGATAACCTATTTAAGAGAAAAAAAATTTTAAGATTTTTATGCCATTGTTTAAAAAGCGACACCCCCGATTCAGTGGCTGAATTTCTAAAAATAAAAAGCTAGTTCGTCGGGATTTTTCTTGGTCGGCGTACCCTTGTGTTTTAGTAACAAAAATAATCAAGAAAAATGAAACAAAGAAAAAAATTTTGTACATCATTTTCGCTAAGTCATGCTTCAGTCTTTCGATTTTAAAACCTTTATTTAAACGTTAGCATCGGAGCGGAATGAGGAACATGCGTTTGAGGAACATTTGAAAGTTGTGAAACCCCGTTTGATCAAACGGGAAATGAATACATTGAGTGGGCACTTAGGTCATCGATTAAAGTAGTTTTATTTTTACTTTCAGCGACTCACATCCACTTTTTAGTCACATTGAAACCAAAAGAAACTTCAATACGTGAATAACGTTGTTAAATTAAGATAATCTGTAATTTCAATCCCCTTGGCCTAACAAAGATTCTTCAAATTACAGGTTTTACTAAATATGCAAATATTTTAAACGTCCTAGCGTGACGTCCAAGGACGTTGGTGTTCGTTACACGTAAACAAGTAAGAAGTCACGTTTTCGAAGTTTTTCTTGTTTTTTGTCAGACTGGATGTCCCCACGCATCGAAAAGCTACCTTTTCAGTAAAAGTTTTTCTTTACCGAATTACACCCACTGAAAAGATTTAAAAGTGCCTTGTTTGAAAATTACAGATTATAACAAAATTTAAATGAACTAGACGCATTGTCAGATCCCACTGAAATTGACATGTTGAGCAAGTTTGTTTTGTTTCGATTTTTTTTTTAATCCACAAATCCATTTATTAGTTTTTGAAACTTCAAACTTTACCTTTAATTGTTCTGAAAAAAATTTTAGTATCAGCATATCTGGAGCATATTCTGATTTAAACCAAACCATAGTTACTTAAAAAGTATGTCAAATATAGTTATGTAAAATGTCGTTATCATTATTATTATTGCTTTTTTTTTAATCAGATGTACCATAATTGTCTCCCCAGAAGGCAGCCTACATTCCTTGTTACAATTAAGTGGATATAAAACGAAAATAATACCATTGTCGGAGGTAAGATAAATCCCCAGTTACACAAACTTGTTAATAATACCACGCGTACAATCGTTACCCCAAGTAGGAACTATTTTTGGCCCATAGATAAAAAAAGGTACTTCCTGTCTTCCTGTTGATAGAAATCAACTTGTTTCCTTTCTTTACTAAATAAGTGGACAGGATCCTCTTTTTTTGAAACATTTCTTTCCGAAATTCAGCGGGGGCGCGGAGACTTGGTTCTCTCTCACTGTTTCTGCGCTGGCCAATTTCTACATAAATAAAGATGTAGTATAAACTTGGGACTGTCACAAAATCGTAATCCAAGGGAGTAACACATGAATGAAACACTTCAAAAATTAAGCAGATAGCCACTTCTCCTGACACTGTCAAATTTATAGTTAAAATCTGTATAAGATGCATGAAGTAGCCCCTCTCTCATGTATTGGTAGACAATATAATCCGCATATTTCATAGTTCCTCTTCATGTACCTCGCCCATTTCTGGAAACGTGCATGCTGTGAGTAGCCTCTCAGATAATTATAGGGAAACTGAAGCCGATCAAAATCTTTTATAGCATTAAGAAAGCATGCCAAAAAACTTGTACCGTGACGCAACCTGGGTCACGAATCTAAGAGACCAGGGGAGAGGAGGGTTGAAGGATTTTGGCGTGGATCGAATGGTTTTTGTGGAAACAGTGGGGGATCGTGGGGGATCGTCTCTAACAGGGTTTAAAGAGAGGGCTATGGAAAATTTACTGGTTGATAATGGGGATCATTAAAGGGAGACCATACTAGAGAGGCTTTAAGGGGGGGAATCGGGTAAATTTTTTTTATGACACCACCAAAATCCTCTCACCCTACCCCCTTCCCCCCTTACGCTTAGGCAGTGTTAATTAAAATGACCGGACCTCTAGCTAGATTGCTCGAATGACTCATTTTATAGTCCCTAACCGCCTTGGAAAACACCTGTTTGAGTGTCTGATATTGGTTATTGTATACTGGCTGAAATTATAAAATAAAAAGAAAACAAAAAAACAAAAAAAAAAACAAAAAACTTGAACACACCTGCAGTAAACAATCAGTTAAAAAAAAAGTGAACCGGATTTCCCTTTAAAAATTACGGCATTGCTAAGGTCAGTGAATCAGTGAAGGTCATTGAACAAAAGCAGATGAGCTCAGTTATTGTGTGTGGGTGTGTAGTACAGATCACCGGCCAAAATAGTCAGCTGAACAGACAAAACAAAGCGTTTATTAATATTATATGACCCTTGTGAAACCCTTAACAACGCTTTATCATTTAGAACAACTCCACAACATTTTCCTCGCTCGTAAGTCGTATGCATATGTTATCAATATCTGTTCTGCCGTTACATACAGGATGCACTCACGTACATGAGAAGTTATCGTCACTTACAGATATGAAGGCGTCACAAGATGAGCCTGCCTCGTCATTTCTATTAGCTTTCCTTGCTCCTTCAGTCTTGTTTTATCGCCACCTAGTTTGTGTTTTTCTGTCCTACCTACTTTGTGGTCTCCTCTAACCTGAAGGGACTTTTGACTCAAAATATCGTGCTGTAGCCTCACCATAAAATAAAACAGACACGGTAGCTTTATTTTCTTTCCATATAAAAGTAAATGGTTCTTTTTCCTATCTCTTAGTACTTACCCAGTTCCAAGTTCCGATTGACATAGGATCAACATTTTTTGCGGATGTTCTTCCATGACGTTTACGAAAAACGTGCACCTTGTTACAAGAATGTGACTTACTTCACTTATCACTCTGTTGCGCAAGGTAGAAAAATGTAATTTTAATACTGTGCAACACCGTTTCACTCAGTTTTTCCCGCTGTAAGTTACCTTTTTTTCAGTCAACGATTTCTCAGCTGAATTATGCCATTCACGCTAATCTGCAGGAAAAATGTTCCTTGATGGACACGCTTGCCCACACAAATCGACAGGAACTGGGAGGACAATAGAGAAATTGCGCTGTACTGTAAGCCTTCCGCAAACATTTAAAAAGTGTCCTACAATTTAAAACAAACAAACAAAAAAGGTTTCTGCCAAAGAAAAGGCTAAGCTTTTTAAAAATTTCCCGATACACTGAAAACCTGCTTTCCTTGCTTTTTAATTTTACATTTCCTGAAGGTTAACTTGATTTAGCACGTGTGCCTCGTCATGTCATGTTAGCATGAACTGTTCCCTGCGAGAAAATAATCTTCCTGTGCATCATAATTATGAATTTGCTCTCTCTTCTTGTCACATAAATAGGAAGCTTGAGATAGTGGAATTTGACCACGAGAACTCTATGAAATTAAAAAACCACAACTAGAAGATGAATTTCCCTACTTTCAATGAAAGTTCTGTCACCATCCACTGCGTGATAGATTGCGAATGGCATAGCCAATCAGACGGCACAAGTTGTGAAAGAAAGTTAATAGATTTTAAACTAATCGGATAAAAGGAATGGCGCGGTTGCCGGAGAGCGCTCGCCTATAACGGCTGTGGCCGGGATTCGACTGATTCATGGATACATTAGGCAGCACATGAACGTACACGAACCAACGATTTTCAAGAGGAAGAAGAATCGAAGTGTTTCATTGCGTAATACGGCATAAATGAGGGTATTATATTCGAAAAAACATCTTTTACAAGTAGCTGGAGGTTGACGGTCTGTTGAATGTCAGACTGAGCTCTGGAACTGAAATTTTAAACCGTGACTTGATTAACTGCAACCAAAAATCGTCTGAGACTTTCCTTGACAGCACGGGTTTGTAATTGTAGTAAGTTTGCGAGGAAGGAAAAAATCGTTTTTCTCTTCTATAAATTCTAACGAGGACTCGGCGCACTCACTAAAGCCGGAAGGTTCTTATTATCATTGTTACTATTATTAGTAGTAGTATCATTGATATCACCATTATCAATGAAGGATAATTTTGGAGCAACTTCAGAATACCCGTCCACATCATTTACATGTGTCGGGAGGCTTTGAAGAATGAAGCATAACACAATAGATGCTATTCTTATTCAATGACATGTAAATGAGTGGCCGGGTATTTCAGCCCCCACAAAAAGCTCCCCCTCCCCCCCGCAAAAAAAAAATTCTCTTTCGGTTTTCAAGGGAGGGACAAGTAAGGACATTTAAACCAGTCTAAATTTGACTTGAAATTTCCTCTGCAAATATTTGTTGAAAAATACAAATAAGGTATTGCTGACACTTAAGACAAGCTTTTTGACTCATTAATTGTTTTGACTTCCGCTCAATCAATTCTGTCAAAGAATGCGATACTGTGAAACCCCTTCTCCACTGCGGCTTAGTCACGACTCAAGGGTTTTAGCGTCGCAGGAAGAAACGATTTCAAAGCATGTTTACTTAGTCATAAAAATAACGCCTACACTAAAATTGTTTTTCGGTCTCCAATCTTTTGCGACTTGTTTCCTTTCAAGCTAGGCGCTTAAGCACCATTCTGATCCTGTTTGTAATATTTGTCTCGAAAACCCAATTTCGAAAATCCGCCCTCCTTGGATTACCGTTGTGAGTCGTCTTCGACTATAACGATCTCTGACTGTAGACTACGTTGATATCGCCGAAACCATTTCTTGTTTCCCTTGAGAGATCAAGGAAGTATCAACTTTGGCTTCGCTTCAGCAAAGTCAACAAGGCCTTCTAACCGCAAAGCGCATTCCTGAACGATAGCCTGCCAGCAGCACTTGATTTAACTTCCTGTACATAAACCTCTTCACTGTGCACGGGTGAGGGGTGGTTCTAATAATAAAGGGGTTCCAGAAAATAAACAAGTAGCGTTCTCCTTCTGTGATTAATCAAAGGACCATTGATCAAGGTGGGCTTTCTCGCCGCAAATTAGCGCATTCCTACACGGTCGCCTGCCAGCAACACTTGATTATATGCACCTTTCCACTTCGAAAAGGCATAAGCAGACATGCACTTTCTCAGGGTGGTCAGGGTGTTTCAGAACATGAGTTGTCATTTTTACGAGTTGCTCAAATTTCCAACTTCCTTACACAGAATCCTGGGCTGCGGTGGATACAAATATGCTCACCACACAATCATTACGTTTATCAAGAGCAGAATCGAACAATGTTAACATCTTCTAGCTGTTTGTTGTTTAAGCTAAGCAGGAAACTGACACATCGATGATAAAGCACAAGATAACAAGAGACGTCATTTGTGACGGAAGTCAACGCCAGATATTCTGAATAAAAGCGGCTTTTGCTGTGACGTTCAAATCAACTTTATGCAAAGGTTCAAGACCCCCCAGTTCCCACAACCAACAAACCCACTCTCAAACGGAGCGCACGTCCGTCATAAAAAATGAAATAAGCTCGCTTCCTTAAAAAAGTTAGTTTTAACAAGAAAATCAGATGAGCCAAAAAATACATCAACCTCCATTTTTCTTATGAATGAAATAAATTAGCAGTGTGACATCTATGACACGATTTTCGAAACAATAGAAGTTTTAAACATATTTCTCCATTTTGATGTTTCATAAAAAGAAAACATTCAAACGTCGGACGATAATTTCGTCCCTATTTTCCATTCCATTGCCCAATATCCCTCTTCACTATCCTCAGAAATTCCCTTGGCGATCTGCTAAATTGGTATAACTTTGAATTTAGAACGTCTCAGCAAAGTGACAGCACTTTACTCCCGTAAGGTAATTTAAATTTTTCATATGCCACACAATCCTCAAGTACCCGGGGTTCGTAAGGCTTTTATTTGAAGAGACATCGATTGTTTTAGTTTCTTACCCAAAAATTTGTTATATATTTATTTACGATACTTTTGAACATTTTATTTGCCCAATAAAATGTTATTCTTTTCACCTGACACAAGCTGGATCAACAAAGCCGGTGACATGGCCGTAATCGCACTATTATATAACAAAAGACATTTCACATGTTGAAGGAATGAAAGTAACAAAGTAACAAGGGACTTTAAGCAGTCAGGACGGCAACGCCACGGAAGACGTCGATTAAAAAATTAGTTTCTACTTTTAGTTAGTATTTGGAAAATGGCTGCATGTGTTTACCGTCTCATAGGGCGCCAGACCTCAAACTCAACATAACGCATAAAAGTAGCGTTGAGTTCCAAATGTAAATTAAAATAATTTGCCGCCGCAGTTTCGCTTCGCAGACGACGTAAATTTTGGTGATTTCACGTCGTTGTTTTGCAAAGGACGGCTAAGAAATGTACAAAGTTTTAAAACGCACGTGCTAGACTACTGTTCTGCCAATTAGATCTATTGTTTTTCCACGTTCTCGTTGCCGTAGCCGTCGTGGTTTGCTCAAAGTCCCTATAATAACAGCTAGTTACGTCGATTCAACTATCACTACCATAAATGCTGATAGTTTCTAAAGAAACTGTTTGGGGCTGTGTCGGTGGGGGTAACGAAATAATTTGAATATATCAACAAAGTTGAAATGGTAAATCGGCCACCGTTACGATTATAAAAGCTGATGTTTCGACGAAGGTCTAACGCTCGAAACGTCAGCTTTTATAATCGTAACGGTAGCCAATTTACCATTTCAACTTTGTTGATATATTCAAATTATATCACTACCATAGTTAGTAGAGGGAGCTGGTTAGGAAGCGAGGCGAACTTCAAAGAGCGCTCCTATTGTTTGTTGGATGAACTTGAACGTACCCTCATCCATGCGTGACCGTGCACACAGTCTTTGCCAACCCTTTGCTCCCTCTACTAACCTATGATCACCACATATTCAACAAGGGGTTACCTTAAAGTACCCTGCGCGCAGAGGAAGAGACATTTCTAGGAAGATCGAAGGAACCTCTGCACGCACCGTTACCTTAAATATTCTACATAACTACACGGAAAAAGTTCTGTACTTTGTAACTCATCGTAAGAAGAAGCCGGGCTACAGTGAAACTAATGTTTTCAAAATATTCTTCCAACTGTTAATGTCAGAGTTAGAAGTTATTTGTCATCCACACCAATTCTATTTAATCATCAATATTTTTCTTTTCTGATAAGAAAGCTACGCTGAAGATCATACACCTTCCTTTCAGCAAGACTTAGTTGAGGGAGGAGTGGGCTGGAAAGAACAGGAGGCAGGTCGGGGGGTGAAAAGGGGAGCGTGGCTGTTATGGGCTTGAAAGGAATATTGATATCATATGACGTAAAGTTTATCGACTTCATCATTCTAAATTCTTTTTCCTCTAATCAAGAAATGAAGGGTTACGTGAGATTTTCATAAATAAACATGATTTTCTACTCTAGTGTAATTTAGAGTAAAATCCTGCTCATAAAAAGGAAAACAACAAACAAACGAACAAACCAAAAGGGAAAAAGCGCGTCAAACGAGTTGATGTATTTTAAGGGACTGTTTTTTGAAGATCTGATCCAAAGGGGAAACCTTAGGCAATTTTAAAGATGATAACTTTTTTTTTTTCTTTTTTCTAAAATTAGCACTTTCAGAATACAAAACTTCAGAGAAGAGCGTTGTTTTTAAGCCTACATCGCTGAGAGGGAAGTGTAATGCTCTAAGTTTCTTCTTCGCTGCTGCTAAAAGTGCCTTTTTCCCGCTGAGAGCTGAAAAGAACAGAAATACGACTTGAGTAAATGATGCGTCGTATCAATCAAACATTCGCGTCAGATTTAAATCTGGCGAAAGTCACATGCGAATAATACAATATTAGCTTCTAAATGAGAGCTTGGGACGTGTCAGAACAAAGTGTACCATCGAAACCAAAGACAATATAAAAATACTGTTACGCTTCATTCAGCAGTGACCTCCAAGGTTGATTGAAACATTTAAATATGTATTCCAAATGTCAAAAACCTTCAATGCACTCTCTAAAGATTCAATTTCAAAATTTATACAGGTGAAAAAGTAAGTGTACATTTGATTAGTTCAAAAATAAAAATTTCGCCTCCGATATTTATAGAAAACATGTCTGATCAATTCTTCACCATTAAGAAAACCGTACTAAACACACTTCCAGTCTAACGCTTATTCCAACTTATACTGATCCCTAATTTTATTATCCAAATGTGCTTCGTAGAGTACAAATAACGCGCGAGACGAGTACAAATATCACAAAAAAAATATGCGCGAAATTCGCCCGCAATGAAATAACGCGTGTTTGATAATAAATCTCATGTCTTATTTAACGTTTTGTTGTGTATTATTACTGATTATTTTTACTCGTTGTTTGTATTTTGACTCGCCCTGAGGGCTCGTCAAAATACGGCACAACTCGTAAAAATACTCAGCGATACTACACAACAAAACGTCTAATAAGATATATATATTCGACACTAAATTGTTCGATGACAAAAAGCGCCCCCTTCCACTAAACCAGGGGAACCTCTTCTTTGATTAAAAGAAGCAGCGGGAGTGAGATTTTTCCTCGCATAAATGGTTAGACGAGGATAAGTTTACGAGAAGAAGGATATTGTTAACTTATAGAGAAATTTAACTACTTACTTGTATATCATGGCGTCTTCATCTTCAGACTCGTTCAACATCGAAAATGTGGACTGATCACGGAAATAGGATTCTACAACAACCAATTAGAACAAAGGTAATATCAGAAAAACCAGTCAGAACAAAGGTAATATAACAAGGGGCCAATGAGAACTCGAGGCAAAAACACGGGAGCAGAAAAAGCGCGGGAAAACGATAGTGACCAAGTCGTGATCGGCTTAAGTTTTGCATCTGATTGGTTGATCAAATGGCGCGAATTTTTTTAAGCCCAAACATAGCGGGAAAGATATTTTGAGCTTATTCTCGGGCCCTGGAAAACTGCATTTAAATAAAAGGAAACCGTGAAGTTAGCAAACAGAAAGGAGGAAAACGAAATGAAAATGTCTGTATATTAAAGGAGTTAACACGGTGTAATGGCCTTTTTAGGTTATTTACGGGAAATTAAAAAAATCCAGGAAGCCGTGTGGTAATATTTCGCCGGCGTCTACAAATGAGGAAAATTACACAAAACGTGGGAGTACAGCATGGAGCAGATCCTGACATTTTTGACAGGAAGGGGGGGGGTGGGTTCAAGTGCTGTCTTACCATAAAGAGCATTCTTAGATGGTGAATACACAAATGCCATGGTGTACAAATAGAAGTTGAGTAATCCAAAAAATGTCAGGAATTCGGCAGGTATTCAGTGTTAAGGAATACACTTAGTATCCTTAGAAAGCAAAAAAAATTTGAAAAATAACTGCAGTTTTGGCAAGTTTTGATCTAAGCTATCGTATTCAGTGTTATTTGATTACCAATAAGAATGGACCCATTACTGTTACAGTAGTTTTTCAATATTCTCATCATCTATAAGCCTCACACCTAACTGATTTGCTACAGAAAAAAAATTTATCGATAGATCCTTGGATTGAAAGGGTTAGAGCAAACTCTTAATAAACATTTGTTAGCCAGAAAGGGAAATTTCTTTTAATTTGTTATTAATGATTGCTTGAATAAAAGGATATAATTATCATAGTGTGTTTCCAGTTCTGCCACAAAATTGTCCTGCAACACTCCAGTCCCAAACCGAAGGCCTGTGATTACCAGACTGAAATGAAATCAAAGAGTTAATTAACCCTTTGACCCTTAAGAGTGATTAGCACCTAATTTCTCCTTACAATATCACCCCTAAATCACACGTTAAGGTCATGAGAATCAAGGAAATGATCACCAACTAGACAAGCTCTTATTCAGTTTCAACAAAACTATTTTAACAAATTCTCCTTGTTTGCACCCAAAGAAATGTAAAGAAAACAGTATGGAGAGTATACCTGCTGATGTCAGGCTGTAAATGTTAATTAAAAGAAACCCAAATAATAATTAACATGCAGAAAAATAGGCATGTGCATTGGATGAGAACATGCCAATCAACGGCAAACCCTGAAAGATTGAAATTGTAAACAGAAAGTTGACATAAACATGCAATCATTTTGTGAATATAATCAAAATGATTGCTCCTGTGATGTATATTGCATAGGCACTCATAAATTGTTCAGACAATATGTCTTACACCCACTTTATTTGCCTAGGTCTTGGAAAAGTTTGCTGCTCCCTACGTACATTTGTTCCAAAGAGCACCCAAAATTGATTGATTACCATTACTTGCACATATCATGATAGTAAGTCATTATTTTAACTTATAACAAAGATTATTACATGACTCAGGCAGTCAGAGGGCCAATAACTAAAATCAAGCAATCAAAATGCTCTATTGCCGGTCCAATATTCTCTAAGTATTGGACCGGGCACTGTCCCGAATGGTCCCAAATGATACCGCACTTGTGTCCCTTTGAACTTCAGTCATATAATAAATCTCTTATTAACCAAGCTTGCTTGGGACCGTACTGGAAGAATATTGGCCCTCGGTCTTTTCTGTATGGACCTTGCTACGCTCAGTCCGTACTGTCAAGACCTCGGGCCGATATTCTCCCAGTATGGCCCTTGTGCTTGGTTAATAGGATATATTTATCCTGCATACCTTATTGTCAAGACAATCAGCATAAGACCTGTGAGGAACTTTAGGCGAACATCTGTGAACACAAAGTGAGAAAACAAACAGACAAGTTAATTTTGGCAAATTTCTAGTAAGTTGACAAGTGGAGAGCTGAAATTTACTGTCACACGAGGTCACATCCAAGCTAGGATTTACCAATTATAACAGTATTGATACCCACTTGATTATTTCTTAGTAAATAACAGCAATATTGAAAAAACTGAATCTTTATCAGCCTTTGGAGTACAGAATTACCCCAACAACATGAATAATTCCAATAATGTCACCATGGGGAAAATAAAGGTAAAAAAGACAAATAAGAACTAATCAGGCAAAATTAACATAAGATTGTTGATCAAGATGCCTGTTATGTTGCTAGCATTCATACAATTTTGATTGTTGGGTGTTCCAGCAACCCAATAGTGTCCACCTTTCCCCTCTGGCTTCTTCTTTTCTGCCATGTTCTCAATGAGAGTATCACAAGCTGAGGTCACAGCCTCAGGTAACCTGAATTGTTGGCTGCACAGTCAAGGGGAAAATTTCACGCCACATTTGCACAAAGTTCAAACAGAAAAAAGAAGATGTCTACAGGAATTTTGTCATATTTTAACCCTCAAGCCATTCATCTTACCTATCTAGTTACCGAAAGCCAGAGTAAAAATTTCGTCTCATAGACACTTTGACTCGGATATGAAAGCAACTGTCGTAAAAGTGTTAACTGAAGATTCTGTAAAGGAAATTTTAATATATGACATTTTTTTTCTTTTCACACATTCATTAAACTTACCAAAGTAAGGCATGGCTCTGAGCTCACTGTATGCCCTGAATAACAGGTAGATCAAGTACACCAAGTAAATGGCACCAATAGTGAAGAACATCACCTTAAGACCCTATGAAAAATGATCACAAAATTAAAAAATCATTACAAACCAAGGATTTAAGACAAGAAATTGGGGTACAGAGTTTTTAATTCCACTGTGGATATATCCGACATTTGTTTGTGGGTGCTTATTCTTGCAGATTGAGGACATTCTGCAAAATCCATAAAAATTGAAACCTGCTATATTTTAATGCTACATGTACATATATCTTATTAACCAAGCGTGAGGGCCATACTGGGAGAATATCGGCCCGAGGTCTTGACAGTACAGACCGAGTGCAGCAAGGTCCGTACAAAAAAGACCGAGGGCCGATATTTTTCCAGTACGGTCCCGAGCAAGTTTGGTTAATAAGAGATTTATTATGTTGACTGAAGTTCAAAGGGACACAAGTGCAGTATCATTTGGGACCATTCGGGACAGTGCCCGGTCCAATACTGAGAGAATATTGACCGGCAATAGAGCATTTTGATTGGTTGATTTTAGTTATTGGCCCTCTGACTGCCCGAGTTGTGTAATAAATGGTGGTTAATGGATGAGAACCCACAGTGTAAGGAAAAAAAAAAAGGAATGAGATGGTAAACATAGATAGCCAATTACAAACTTTCCCTGATTATGACATAACTACTGTTATATTATAATTTTATTCCAACATCCTGTACTTTAGATAGAATAAATATATGAAAATCATATATTTTGAACTGCGGTATTTGATACGTATGATGGACGATCCTCGCAGTAGATAGCGCTATTTGAGCAATAGCGAAATTCAGACCTGAAAAAAATCAGGCCTGTACGGGACTCGAACCACTGACCTCTGCGATACTAGTGCAGCGCTCTAACCAATTGAGCTAACAAGCCAACTGAGAGCAGGCCGTTAAGTTGATTCGTAATGAACCCGTGAAAGTGATAAATGAGATAGAATAAATATATGAAAATCATATATTTTGAACTGCGGTATTTGATACGTATGATGGACGATCCTCGCAGTAGATAGCGCTATTTGAGCAATAGCGAAATTCAGACCTGAAAAAAATCAGGCCTGTACGGGACTCGAACCACTGACCTCTGCGATACTAGTGCAGCGCTCTAACCAATTGAGCTAACAAGCCAACTGAGAGCAGGCCGTTAAGTTGATTCGTAATGAACCCGTGAAAGTGATAAATGAGATAGAATAAATATATGAAAATCATATATTTTGAACTGCGGTATTTGATACGTATGATGGACGATCCTCGCAGTAGATAGCGCTATTTGAGCAATAGCGAAATTCAGACCTGAAAAAAATCAGGCCTGTACGGGACTCGAACCACTGACCTCTGCGATACTAGTGCAGCGCTCTAACCAATTGAGCTAACAAGCCAACTGAGAGCAGGCCGTTAAGTTGATTCGTAATGAACCCGTGAAAGTGATAAATGAGATAGAATAAATATATGAAAATCATATATTTTGAACTGCGGTATTTGATACGTATGATGGACGATCCTCGCAGTAGATAGCGCTATTTGAGCAATAGCGAAATTCAGACCTGAAAAAAATCAGGCCTGTACGGGACTCGAACCACTGACCTCTGCGATACTAGTGCAGCGCTCTAACCAATTGAGCTAACAAGCCAACTGAGAGCAGGCCGTTAAGTTGATTCGTAATGAACCCGTGAAAGTGATAAATGAGATAGAATAAATATATGAAAATCATATATTTTGAACTGCGGTATTTGATACGTATGATGGACGATCCTCGCAGTAGATAGCGCTATTTGAGCAATAGCGAAATTCAGACCTGAAAAAAATCAGGCCTGTACGGGACTCGAACCACTGACCTCTGCGATACTAGTGCAGCGCTCTAACCAATTGAGCTAACAAGCCAACTGAGAGCAGGCCGTTAAGTTGATTCGTAATGAACCCGTGAAAGTGATAAATGAGATAGAATAAATATATGAAAATCATATATTTTGAACTGCGGTATTTGATACGTATGATGGACGATCCTCGCAGTAGATAGCGCTATTTGAGCAATAGCGAAATTCAGACCTGAAAAAAATCAGGCCTGTACGGGACTCGAACCACTGACCTCTGCGATACTAGTGCAGCGCTCTAACCAATTGAGCTAACAAGCCAACTGAGAGCAGGCCGTTAAGTTGATTCGTAATGAACCCGTGAAAGTGATAAATGAGATAGAATAAATATATGAAAATCATATATTTTGAACTGCGGTATTTGATACGTATGATGGACGATCCTCGCAGTAGATAGCGCTATTTGAGGATCATACGTATCCTGTACTTTCTTACCATAAAATGGCCAATATCTATCTTGTACTGGTATGTGGGATCTTGTAACTCATTATATCTTTAAAAAAAGAAGAATCTTTCATCAGATCACCTCCCCCTCCCTAAAGAAGTCAACCATGACTGTAGTTCAAAGTGGACTATAAATAATTGGATGCGGTACGGCCCTCTGTCACACTGTTTACTTTACTTTTTTTCTCAAAAGCTTTTAAAAGCAGCATGCAGGTTCCTTCAATTAGCACAGCCCGGATTTGCAACCCTGCTACTGATAACGTACTCTCTGAGATGATTGCTAACACAACCACAGAACCAGTTAACCAAAAATCAACAAAAAGGGTCAACGAGGGAAAAAGATTGTTTTTTTTTTTTTAACTTAACAACTGAAGATTTGTGTAGAATAAAGCTTTTGACAACTTTTGGTCCAACATCAACTTCCCCCTGTCTTTCACAGGAGAATCCAAAACAATTTGAAAGGAGTTGCTGGCAACCCATCACATTGTCAGTTGAGGTATTTTTTCCTGACAGTGTACACACTTTCAAAGGAAAACTTACTGTTGCCATGATGACAGTGTGAATGATGCAATCCATAGCAGGCCAACAATGAGAACTTTGGGGAGATAGAAACTTAATCTTCTTTCGCTCTGTTTTTATTTACGAAAAAAGAAAAACCTTTTCAGTAATTTGTTTAATATGATTCACTTATAAGCGCTATTTGACCACAAATGCAATTACCCTAGATTCATAGCTGGACTGGATACTGCTCTTGATCAAGTGGAGGAGCAATTTTACTTATATACACACTAGCCAATTGGGCAAAGCCTCAAGCATACTGTCTTTTCAGTCCAGTCAAGTCCAGAAAGGCAAATACGGTCTTCAAAAACTGGGTCTTAACAATGAACTGAAATCTGCCAGCTGTCTATTACAACTGACAATCACTGGCATTCCTTATGAGAGAAAGGGAAGCATCTAAGAGAAGGAATTAAGACAAAACTTTAAGGGAGCCAACTTTTGTACTTGCCTTGCTCAAAAAAGAGTATGTGATTTACTCACTGAAAGTAACACCACTGCTAAAACTGATTTTAAGAACTTATCAAGGGAAATTAAGGGTTTTCTTTTAACCAGGACAAAAAACTTTGAAGCTACGGCACTAATATTTGATAGTGGCCGGAATACTCAAAAGTTTCCATAAAAAAAAAATCATCAATATCTCCCATACTGATAATGAAAATAAGAAAATTTTAAAAAACCTGTCTGATGCCATGGAAGGCGCAAAGCCAGAAGAGCAAAAGGCCACAGAGAAATGATGCCTGGAACACTGAATCAAACATTCCAGGAACCCAACTGTTCACCAGGAAGTTGAGAGGAAATAATGGGTCTATTGAAAAAAACATTTACAATTATGCATGTAAACAATAAGCAAAATTTAAGAGCTGAGCAGAGTTTCCAGCTGATTGATTAGTTGCATCACTCTTTGTTTAAGGTTAAGCATAGTTTTTAAGGTGAGGAACATAACTCCTTCTGTTTTCAACAAGACAAAATGTGTGCCTATGGTTTGTTTAGAAAAATTTCTGACAAGAGCTGAAATGTTAAAAAGAAAAACGAATTTAATGTACTCCTAACAGCTCACCAATTAAGTCATTCAACCTCATTACAGAACTCTGTTATCAGCCAAAATAATATATCAACACTATGGAGGAAAAGTTTTTTGCATCAGTTGAACTAAGATACTCCCTCAAAAATTTCAACCTGAGAGCTCTAAATCTGTCAGTTCTGCTAACTGTCCGCCATACGTTTCTAAATATGGATTAAACATATTTATACGAATATATGAACTTCATATATTCATCGTATCTGATTTATCATCACGGGTTTATTACGAATCAACTTAACGGCCTGCTCCCAGTTGGCTTGTTAGCTCAATTGGTAGAGCGCTGCACCAGTATCGCAGAGGTCAGTGGTTCGAATCCCATACAGGCCTGATTTTTTTCAGGTTTGATTTTCGCTATTGCATAAATAGCGCTCTCTACTGCAAGGATCGTGCATCATACGTATTAAAGATATTTGTTTGACAGAGTTTTTATACTCAGTATTGTCTGGCACAATTACTTAATATTAATCACTCCTGGCAGTGTAAGGGTTACCGGTCAGGGAAATCATTTACCATTGTACAGCAACAGCAGTGGAAGAAGAAGTGACATCCATCTGTACAGAGAAAAATTAATTTCAAATTTAATTCAGAGACACATAATTGTATGTGTGACTGTCACATTTTTTGCAGAAACATTTTGTCTATAAAAATATCATTTTTATCCTGATTATCTCCAGAATAGCTTTGAAGAAGTTTATGACAATCACTCCATCAACATCAACTCAACAACAAGTGGAAATCTATTCACTCCAAAGCTATGTTCCAACACAGGACAAAGAGAGTTCAAGCATGGATGAACAGATGCTTGGAACTTGTTATCTGTGAACGTCAGGAGTTGTAATTAATTTAAGGGCACATTTCAGCCACATGTCAACACTACACAGAGGCTATATTTAAACAATATTACCAAGATATTATATAATTGTTGGTGGAAAAAGCTTGTGAGTTACCAATTAAACTTGGCTTATTGATTCTTTCCTTGATCAACATTTAGCTGGCAGCCAAAAAAAATTCCATTTACCAAACAGAAAAAAAATTGTCTCAAGTTTGACTGAAAATGCAATTGATATGATACACATAAAAAAAAATCAGTATTAAAAGTTCACAATTACTGCTGCATTGAGATGCTTTTTTCAAAGTATGTTTAATGTACATGTAAAATGTGATCCAAATTCCTTACTTCTGTTCTATGGACCACTCCCGTAATGGAAATCTTCTCAATGAATGAGCAAACATACACTGAAACCGAAAGAGTTGCAATTCAATAGCCCATTTCTGAATTACCCTTGGCCTCATTTTCAAAACGAGTCCTCCTGGTGCTCATCTATTCATACAATAATAAGTTTTCATCCACATGCAAATTAAACTTATTTCCACAAGAATGGTTGAGCACCAGGCCTTGTTTTGAAAAAAAGGCCAAGGGGTTATTTTGGTCATATCAATAAAAAAGAAATTTATGTGGTGATTAATGGATATTTATTAAGGCCTGAACATTTTTGTTTCATTGATAACCATAGCTATGGTGATTTTACCACAAACAAGTGTGCAACATGTGGTTTCAATTGATAGCTCAGTCAGCCAAAGCACCCAAATAAAATTTGGGAAGCACAGATTCCACACCCTTAATTGGGACCAGAACTTTTTCAGTATTCCTCTCTGTCTTCAATATTTGCAGTTTACCTGTGAGCATCAGTTCTATTTAGTTATTTCCCACAAGTCAAAACATTATTTCAATTATTTGTAGTTGGATTTCTTAGCAGGAAACATAGAGCCCCCAGCGTATGGCTCGATCTGTAGCTCAAATGATAATTGTACCTTACTAATAATGTCCCTAAAGAATTAAATTTTCCAAGCTTCTCTTTTTCTGCATTGTTTTTTATTGCAGTTCATCTTTAGGATCACTTTTCTATTTGAAGACAAGTCAACAGCACTTCAGACCAGTCACTTACCGTAACCATGAATGTAAGTACAAGGAATACAAATCTGAACCAGATTTCAACCTGACTGAAATCAGCACTGTAATGTTTCAACTGCAATCAAAGCATACAGTCAGTGATTATCATGTTGCACTTTTGAAATATTTTACAAGCAATGGGTTGAGGCTATTATCATTTGTGATTATCTCTCAGAAATTACAAAATATGACTATCTTTTCCGTTATCATTACTCCTCATTCCATTTTTTGTTCATAATTTCCATTTTGATGTTTATCTATAAAAGCAAACTAAAACTTCTGTCAGTGGCTTCTTTAAAATTGGAGGTAATTTTATGCACCACTGTTTAACTCCAACTCATTATAACAAAAGAACTTGTCATGAGACTATCACATTCTACCAAGTTTAACCCTGACAGTCTTACATGTAGGATCCCAATTGTAGGAAATTTCTCCTTACTGTTTACCATACAAGTATAATAATTAGCGCTAAGAAAATAGTGCTGAATCAAATAACTCTTCTGGTGATGCAAATTACATTTTCCAACATGAGCTTCAAATTACTTTTTTTCTCTCACTCCTAACACATTTACATCAACAGATCATAAAATACACACTCTGAGCAACAACTCACAATTTAATGTTCAAGGGCCTTGAAAGAGCTTACCACAAAATCAATGTCTCTAATATCGATTCCTGTAGGAAATTGGAGGCCGTGAAATTTGACAGTTGCCACATATGATGGATAATCAAGATAACCAAGATGTAAAATAACCAAAGGGTTACATTCCTGAAATCAGAACATTGAAAATGAATAAATATATGTGTGAGTGTGTGTGTATGTGTGTGTGAGTGTGTGTGTGTGTATGTGTGTGTATGTGTGTGCACCCACACTATGCATTCATGAACAACTTCTCCCAGTTTACATCATTTTAATTTAAGTTGAGAACTAATTTTATAACTTTCTATTCATCAACGAGCACTTTTTCTTAAATTAAGACTGGGTCAAACCACACAATCATATATTATTAATATTACTTACATGACTGTACTAATAGATTTTAACATAAACATATCTATTTTAGTGATCAGTCGTGCTCTGTCGACTGTTTTTTTGTTTAATAAAGTTGCAAAAATAGGCCAAAAGTAATTATCCTAACTACCACCAATTACAGAAAATTACTAGATGATGATGATGACCTAAATAAAAAGTAATCTATTGTAATAATGATGTAATAAATAATCTATTGTAATAATAATGTAATAAATAATCTAATAAATAATAATCTATTGTAATAAAAATGTAATCTATTGCATAACCTGAACTTATTGCAAAAAGATATGCATCAGCGAAACAGGCAGAAGACTAGGTGACCGATTCCGAGAACACCTTCGAGACGTGGAAAGGAATGACAAGGACACATCAAAACCAGTCGCTAGACATTTTAATTTACCTAATCATTCTAAGCAACATATGGCAATCTGCGGTCTTTCCTT